CATCCACAACCCTGCCCACACAAAGGATGAGGTCATAAATCTCTTTTCAAAAAAACGCTTAAGAACACCTGGCAGCCTGTTGATTTTGCGCGCAAATGTGAACTGGGCGTGCAAATGTACACGGGGGAACTGGCTTTCCAAAGATTCCTCCACAGTCAAAGCTATGTCACAGGTCGACTGGGTCGACTTTCTCAGTCTTTGTTCCTGGCTTGGCAAGGAAATGTTGTGGTCACAACATGATCATGATGCATATTTTCACAATTTTGACACATTTTGATTGTGATGTCAATGAGGGGAAAGTCCACAGAAGCGAGCATGCTGCAGCAGTCTCAAAGGAGCCAAGGAACCTTCCTTTGAAATTCTGCGAGCCGGGGTCATTTGCCATCTCTTATTACGTCTCGATTTTTTCACCTCAAGTCTTTGCCACCTTTATTCTCTTTCTCTTTTTTGGCGACGTGAGGTCTGACCTCAAGACGCGTTCTTCGTTTTGAACTTGATTTTGACCCACCCTCGGCCACCCTTTTCATGTTTGATTCTTGCTTAAACTTGCCTCGAACAGTCCCAAGAAGGAGCGATCTGTGCTTGACGTTTTCCAAACGTTTTTGTGGTATGCTAACGATAATTCTACTTCCACTTTCTGTGCCTCTCTTGTGCTGTGTTTGTTCTTTTCTGGGTTTTTATGTTGTGTTCATTTTTCAACGGACGGTTGTGAGTTAATAACTCCCAGGAAAGACACATTGGTGTCCATCGTTTTTGTCCAAGGGGCCTTTTGAATGTTTTCATGTTTGCGGTTGAGGCAGTTACTTGTGAGTTTAGTTGACAGACGGAAGCGTCACAACCTTCCAAGCAACCTTCAAAGACTAGTGACGTCAACCTCATTTCTCTATGTTGATTAGTATGGCCACTGTCGCCTTTCCTCATGTGAAGATTTTCAACTGGAACTTCGAACCGATCACTTGTACAGCCTCTCACTCCGACACCTGCCGCTTTTGTGTTTGTAGAATTCAATAGTCCAAAAGCAGCTGAGAGAGGGCATTTGTTTCTGCACTTTTGTGCAATACACGCACCAAAGAACAGGGCCATCAATCAGGTGTGCCGGGAACGGACAAACAGTAGGATGATGGTGACGTCCTTGCTCCTAGTAGCGATGCGTTCCTAGTAGTACGGCCAGGAGCCCCTAGTAGCGTCCAATTGCCTCTTAATGTAATGAACAAAATGACCTTTTGGTTGGGTGATTTCCGTTGTGTTGGAACCCCGCTCTGCAGTTGCAAGTGCAAGTACACCATATTTTGTGGTGCGGTGTTTTTCACTTTTTGTGAGTTCTCAAAAGAACGAACTTGTGTTTCTTTTTTAGTGTGATTCTTATCCAACATTTTGTTTGTTGGAAGTGGACATTAATTGAGGTCTGAGTGGTAGGTCAATCATACTGGTGAGATCAGACCTGCTGAAGGAAACATGGTTCAACCACATGCATCATTTCTTACACATATCCATGCAGCCACATCGGTTTAGTCAATGATCGTGCAAAAGCCTCAATAGGATGGTGTCATTTGCACAACCGCTCTTTTGGCAGCCTTGATCCCAGTTTGGACACTGCCGATACGCCTTGGCGTTGAAACATGTTGTGCGCCTGGGATGTTTTGTGACAACCTTGCCAGAAAATAGTTGGCTATATAAGGATCAGATACATTGTGAATGCACTGACCAAGAAGCTGCAGCCTCAGCATCAACTTTCAACTGTCACTCCTCCGACTTTTCTGTTCCGACCAGGAATCTGAAGCCAAGCCTGAATGAGCTTCACAACCTCATAGCCGCTTTTGGCTACGATGCCCAGGCGTTCTGTTGTTTGGTATGTTGAACCGGATTTGAGACAATTAAGCACAGGATACTGTATCAAGAAAGTCAGTGGCCCTGATGTCAACAACCCTGCAATAGACAGACATTTTTCATTTTTAATCCGTTGTTCGTAAACTCATTGGATCTTTGAGAGACAAAACCTAAGACCTCTTCAGTCTTCCAATCTTCTATTTGTTTCTCTTCCAATGTGGAGGTTTTCTTTCTCCGGGTGCTGCTCGAGGAAGCGGCATCAACAAACTGGCAGTATTCAGGCTGGATACGCGTTGAATACAGTTGGAGCAGAGAAGAGATGAACAGCCATGGGTCATTGGTGAATGGTGCAAACGTGAGTGGACTGCTGCAGGAAAAGGCGCATTTCAACTTCAAGTTCTCTCCGCAGAGCTGAAGGAGATAGAGCATGAGGAGACACATACAAACGGCAACCCCGACGCAAAAAAAGGTTACGGAACTGAACAGTGTTGTTTGTTTCTCTGCCTGGAGATCGGCCAACCAAACCGTATGGTTCCAAGATAAACGCGCACTGCATTGCTTTCCATGTCCATATTTTTCAAGATCTTTGCAATGGTCTCCTGCAGTTCCAAAACAACATAGTCATTTGTGTTGGCGAGCAAGTGTGAACGTGCAGGTGTGACGAAACTGCTGTGTTCGAGTGGATGTTTATTTTTTCTGGTCACCTGTCACTGGCAAGTGCACTATTCTCACAGGTGCCATGAGCCATAAGTATAGTTGTTCGTTTTATGAGGAAAAAGGACACTTTTTGGGCTCTACTTTGCTTTAAGGATCGATCGAACTGCCACGTTATCGTGATCACAGGGTGAATTCAACGGCGAACCGGGAACATCAGGGAGGGCCGAACCGGCGAGGGAGGAGGCCTGGCCTCATTTCCATGCTTTTGGTGGGGTTGTGAGGGCCATGCTGAGGGGTCAGGTTCCCTTCTGGAGCTTTGCAAGCTCTTTCAGTGAATCTATGCTAATCTTCCGGACTTAGTTGGAGAGCAGCAGCACCGTGTTGTTTTGGGTGAGGAATTAGTTGTGCAGTTTATCAGTTCTGGTTGCAAATTCATACCAAGCTTGCTCGGTGAAGGTGACCTTGTTTGCGCGTTATTTGACCAATTCTTTGCCGCCACACCACAAAGACAAACATGGAGGCATACACATGCAGACATACCAATGTCTGGGGACCGAGATGTTCATACCTTAAAGGCCATGAAAGCCCTGCGCTGCTAGTAGTACATTTTGCTCTTTGAGCCACGTGAGGAGCAGTTTGGTCAGTTGTCCATCTCTCAGCATGAAGCTTGCCAGTCCAGGAATGTCCAGAGAGGTGTGTTGGCTGTAAGGGTGTTTCACTCTTCTCCGGCCTTATGCTCTTTCCCTCCTGAGCTGGATCTTGATTTCCGACTGGGCAACGCAGATTACATCAACATAGATAGGTGGCTCATTAAGTCAATGGTGCATCAGTTTTTGAAGAGCAGGGAGAAGTCTTGTCGGTGTCCAACAAAATTACTGACCAGACGTTTGTCAGACTAGTGCGCACTGGTCTGGCTGGTGCTGACTAGCTGAGGCTTTGTCATGCAATTGAACAGTTCAAAGAGAACATCACAGAGGCAAGGCAAACCGTGGTCTTAAACCGTTCTTTGGATTCGAATCAAGTTACTGAGGTTTCCAAGCTGTTTGTCCTTTCTATGTTGATCATGCTTTCTTTGCAGCTCAAGCCAGTGGTTTTGCTGGGCATGAGTGTAACAAGCTTCTTTGCGTTGTGTTTTTTTCCTGAAACAATGTTTTGATAACTTGGCGACGCAGCACTTCCTCAACGCGCTGCTGAGGACTTTTTGCTGCAACTGTGCAAGGTGCGCAGTACTGGACTGTATGGCCTCCGCCTGGTAGCTTCTAGTTACTAAGACGCTTCAAAGACATACTAGAAAGATCTAGAAAGCTTCATTGTTACTAGTAGCGATGGCCTCCAACCTAATTTGAACATAAGGACATGCGAGATTCTTAGCACAACAGCAGCGTGCAGATCCAGCTAGAGCCCAGTATGTACGGAGTCAGCTTTTCTCATGCTCAAGATGCTCGATTTGAGTTCTGGCCTCCTTTCAAATGTTTGCCATCGTCAAACCAGCCTTTGATGCTTCAAAGCTCTTCAAAACATAAGCGATTGAGGGGTAACACTCCTGGACGCGCACCAGAGGCGACAAAGATCAGCCTGCAGCCTGCGCTCCCAGACCTCGAAGGGGAGCCCTTTTTGCAATCAAAGAATCTTTGGGTTTGGTTGATTTTGGAGGAGGAGTTTGATTGATTTCGGAGAAGTTTGTCTCAAAGAGACGTTGCAAAGCTTTAGTGCATTATGCCTTTTAAGAGATGGGAAGCAACAAACTACCAACACCACCGCATCGATACATCCTACATCCAGTCCAACCTGCCCTTGAGATTTTACCGATGGCTCTGCCACAGTTTTTTGCATCTTGACCATGTTCCTTGCCGTTTTCTTCTCAGACTTGGCAGGGCACAGATCAACATGGCCGTGGCAATGCTGCATTCTTTGCCACTGAGCCAGGAGGCCGCAAGGGTCAGAGACGCACCACAAGTTCACCTCAGCAAGACATGGACCCTTGGGAGATATGTTATATGTTTCTTATGAAAGTTATATTTAGGTTGAATCAAAGAAGTTCAGCACCACTCAGCAACATCGTTGATGGGTTTTCTACCACTTTTCCTTTTCGATCATTCTTGGGCTTTGCCGCCTAATAACGAAAGCCATTTGTAAGCTAGGCTAAAGGTACTTTCTGCGAACGAAGTGAGCTATGAGGGGATGCCGGGCAGAGTGTACCAATTGTTCCCTAAACCTGAAAACGTGGAGGCCATATTGGGCGACGACGTGATACAGAAAATGTAAGCCCCATAATCGTAGAGGCCTCCTTTAAGGTGGATAGAAACAGTCACCCCACTTTCAAGAATCACAAACAGACCTCAGAAGGGAAGCAAACGCAATGACGTACCTTTTCAAGTCTTTCTTGTGCAGAGCCTCGACAAAAAATTCAATAGAACCAAAGCACATATATAAAATGACTCACTCATCTTTTTCAGAGACAATGCCTGACAGTTTGTTTCGGGGCGTTCAAAGACAAATGTTTTGGGCATCCTCCAATGGCTTCAGTTTCTGGGTCGACCTATCACATTTCAAAAGCAAGTAACCCACCACAGCCTAATGTGGTACAACCATGCTGGTTTCTACCACGTATGTGATTTTCTGCATCCAATATGTTCAAGGCTTTTGGAATCATTTGGATGGCTCCCATGCCTCACATCTGCTAGAGCAAGTTGAGAGTAGATCACTGCTGTGGCTCCTCTCAGCATGCTTTGTTGGTATTTGACATCTCCTTTTGCCTCGTCTTCCATCTCTTCATATCCTCTCTAGTTCTTGTTCGCATCAACCAGACATGCAAACAGGTGCACGCGGATACCACTAACCACTATCTGTCACTACCCACCCTGTCTTGGTCTACAAAGATTGCAGTGCTTTGGTGCTTCGCTGGATGCCAGGCGAGCCGGCGGGAGTCAGCCAAGTTCTTGAGAAATCGCTTCAGGCGAGAACTGCGAGCGGAAGTCGCTTTGAATCAGCCATTTCATAGTTCTATACGCTTTGCATGAGGTTTGACTCCATACCACATGTCATTTCACAATGAATGTCAAGTGGATAGCCTATCTTTTCGTTCTAAGCATTGGCATTGAAACCGAAGCTTTCCGACGCTGATCCAACCTAGCAGCTCCGTTACTGACGTTTTCCGGTGCTCAGACTTTATGAACTTGCGTTTTGGCTCAGATGGGGGAAGCAGGAGGCTAGGCTTTGGATAAGCTTCCCCAGGTGGAGCTTGTTTGCTTGTTCAGTGATTTTCCCAGGCACTCCTGCAAATTCATCTGGGAAGCTACCTCAAATCTGGATTACAGTTCTTGATCCCAGCTTGCAGAACAAAGTAAATCAAGGTCCCGCATCAACACATCAGATTTTCCTGGCTCCACCTTCACGGTGGCCGATTGTTGACCGTGCGTGCGCCTCAGAGTTCCGCCTCGGCCACGTGGTGTGTTTGAAGGCATCGCTTGGTGTCTCTTCTCGGTTTTTGGGACAGCAAATCCTGTGTGGCCAACGTCCTGCAGCTATTTTGGGTTCAGCTCTGGCCAACGTCCGGCGGTGGACATCTGGTGCCATGTGGACTTTACTGCTTCTGCTGCCTGCACTCCTAATGGCTCAGTGACCTGGCAGAGGGTGACTGAAAAGAAGAGGTTGTCACCGCTTCAAGCGAGTTCGATCAAACCGTCTCTGAAGATCAAACTAGCCACCATACAGGTTAGGCGGCACAAAATGCTTCAATCTTTGGATCAGCGAGGTTCAAGTCCGCGGTGCGTATATGTTGCATTGTTGGTCCCACTTTAAGCCCATCGTCCTCCTGTCACTTGCAAACAACTCTTAAATTCACGGACAAAGTGGAACTGCACTTTAGAGCAGAAGTTTGGCCGCGAAGCAATTGACTCCTCCGCCTGACTTGGACGGGCCTCTTGCTATCTTCTTTGATGGCATGGCCAAAGCCTTTCCAGATTGTTAAAGGGGTAATGATGAAGCTCCAGGCAATTAACTTGGACTAAACTGCAGCGTGGAGGTCAGCTTATACATATACTGTATATCTATATATCGTTGTGTAGGGGTCGCACTGTCATTTGTATTCACAGATGAGGATGCTGGCAAAGCTCCTTTGAAGAGATGCTCTCGCATTATCTAACTGGGTTCAGTACAAGACGACGTACTGTTCCATGGCCTTGATGGCCCAGGCCCTGCGAAGATTGCCAGACCAAGGGCTATCACATGTTGCAGCACAAGCAGCGGGTAGTCAAGAAGGCGGGGATAACAAAGACATAATATGTTGGGAGAAGGAGCAAACCCTTCACAGTTTCATTTGGTTGCGATTATATTGAACTTGTAGTGCGCGGTTGCAAAAACTGCTTTAGTTTGCCAATACCGTTCAGTTTTCACCTTTGCGATTTTCCTGCATCTATTTCCCACCTCTCACAATTCTGACATAGTTAATGCGCATGAAGCTATGCGTTGTTTGCTGCTCCATCATGCGCTAAGCAAATCCATTAACAGCGACACTATATTACATTGCATGCGCTGATCGGACAAGTTAAGTTTCCCTAAAAATCTAGAAAACAAATCATTAGTGCGAGCGCTTCTTCGAGGAAGCTCCCCCTGCCCTCAGGCAGGGTGAGCTTCCTTGAAGAAGCGTGAGCTATCCTGCGTCCAGTTACTGGAAGCTAAATAGGAGCTAGTAGCTTATTATTCCCTCACTTAGGAGGTCGGCCAAAGAAGAACCAAAAAACCGTGATGGTTTGGAAAGTCCATTGGTCATGGCCGGGCACCGGGTATGTGTCCTATTGGTTCGCTGACAGCGAGGTCGATCACCAATCAAGCAAGAAATGCGGCCATGTTGGAGCCTCACATTTATAGAAGTGGAGAGAGTCTCTAAAGCTTGTAAGTTCATTTGATCCAAGGACGTTGACATCTTGGAATCCAAGTCTTGCTTGATTTTTCTGTTTTGCTCCAAGGTTGACTGCCCTGAGGCCTGCTGAGGGCTGGAATGTGATCTCCACAAGTTCCAGTCAATCCAGACAAGTCCAGGAAGTTTTTCGCTTAGCTTGAGCTTCTGCTTAGCTTCGTTTGGCTTCTATAGGGGAGTTTGAGTCGTACCTTTCACGAGATCTCCAGTATGGCAGGGCTGGCATTTTCATTTTGTTTCTTTCTGCAAATCAAAGTCGCCACCCCGCAGCCAGGACGATGATGACGATGATGACGATGATGACGATGACGAATCAAAGGCTGGATTGTGCTCAGGCTGTCTATCAGATACTATCCTTCGTGCAGCCGGTCTGATTGAGCTTTAATCTCTCCGATGCAAAGAAGAAGTAGGCATCGACCCTTGAGTTCTGGTGCAACAGCATCGACCCTTGTCCACATATGAGCTCTGATTTAGAGCTTGTCTCCACAAAGCATCTGATCACTGATTTGCGTCAGGGCATTGTGGCAAAGCATGGCTTTCTGAAGGTGGCGCAGAATAGGGTTGTGGACCAGCCGCTTGCACTCGAAGATTTAGGAATTGTTTGGAATCTCACCTTGCCACACAGTTAGAAACATGCTCAACTACTCACTAGGTCATGGTTTAACTGGTTGCGTGGCAGTTTCGCAGGCGTTGAGTATGCCTTGCAGCAAAACAATATGTGTTGCTTAACTATTGCTTTGATGCGCACTCCTTGCATCGATTTCCACTTCGATTTCCATCTCGGACGGATTTTCGTCACAGTTGGCACAGCCCTCCGAGCTCACGGGAAGAATTAAGATTTTGGTAGAACTTCCTGAACTAGAGCTGCCACACTTTTCCAGCCAGAATTTGGTCAATGGAGATTGGCTCATGGACTTTTCGACAAGCTTTCTTTTGAACAAATGTTGTGAGTGTCTGGCACTCCCTATCTATGAATTGCATTCTGGCCAGTGGAATCCCTACACACACAAACCTTTCATGTGGGGTGAAAACAAGAGTCCTCTCGTAAAAAGGTCAAGAACAAGGCACATTGTGTGTATATGGCAGTCCTCGTGTGTTGGTCCTGGACAAACATCGACAGCCAATTGCACCCTTGCACCGAAGCAAGTTCATCGACGATCACGACGAAGCCTCCTCGCAAATCAGCAAGACCCCCCTTACCCCAGACCACCCCCTGATTCCAAAGCAAGTTAATATACACCAGTACTTTTGTTGCAATCACTATGAATGCCGATACTTTTCAATGCCACCGTCCACTGTTTCCACAGCAGGTTAATTTACGAAGCATCAGCATCAGCATCAGAAACAAATGCAAGAAGCACAGTGAACGTAGTAGTAGACGTTTGTAACATATTGAAACAACGCTATGCAAACCGCCAGCAGCTGCCTGCTGTTCCACAATGTTCCACATGCTCCCCAGAGATGATCCTCATCGTCTGAGGTCTGGAGAGGTAGTGCGACTTCGGGGTATGTCGCTGTTCTGGTCCCAGTGGAAGCCGCAGTACTGGACCAAAGGCAAGTGGAATGTGTGGAGCTTTTGACTTAAAGTTATCTAATTAGTGTGAAAACGCATCTTCAATCTCAGGGAAAGACGATGATCAGTGCAAAAAGCATAGAGCAATGCAGTTTTCTTCGAGGCTGTACAAAGCAGTGATGTCCTACTGCATGCTACCAGCCTGATGGTAGGGTGTGTCTTCCATTGTGCTATAAGTTATAAGGGAACAAAAGCAGTTGGTATGCAGGACAGCAAAAGCATTAGTTTGCCAATTCTATTTGCTGTGCAGGCACCACCCGTTGGCTCAAGAAGAAGTGGGGAATCACTCTGCTACGATGTCCAATGGCCATTGAGGTGTGAATGTCTATGGATTCGAGCGTTTTGCATAGTTGCCATTGAGTGAGGAATCTTGGGACCCAAGTGCCAGGCCATTGAAATACAATGTGCTAGGTCTAGGTGATGCATTGACCTGTTTTATGGGACCGTGTGCTGACTGTTGAGGCAGGTGGATATCTGACAAACCCACAAGAAGAGATGAACAAAGTCAAGGCACGGTGCAAAGTTGTTGAAGTTGTTGACCAGAATTCCTGTTACCTGCTGCTGCCGTTTGTCAACTTTTTTTGCAAGTAGGAGAACTAAGCCTTTCAGTGACAGCATACAAGCCATGGAGAGTGTGTGTATAGTCCTTTTTGGTCGCTCTCGCCAGACAGTGGTGGAAGCAGCCATTGAGCAGGGGATTTATGTCATCATTGACTGGCATGACCACAATGCTGAACAGCACGAACAGGCAGCTGATCTGACGAAGGTAGAGTTACTTCGATCGTGGCCCTTCGGAGCGTGGTTCATCGAAAGCACTGTTTTTTGCATCGAGCGTTGCTTGCCACTTTCGTCGGCCGTTCAGACGGTTGTCATGCTGTGCGGGACGGGTCGTGAGGGGTCGTTCTTACTAGAAGATCAGCTCGAAATTCAGGAAGCTGCAGAGTTTTTTGGGCAAGTGGCCAAGAAGTGGTTTGGCTGCAGTTGGGATGTGTGTGACTCCAAGTGGTGTGGGAAAGACGGGCCGCGGCTGGAAAGACGATCATGGCAGGTAGGAAGGTGGTTGTCAGGACGAGGTCCGAATCTTCAATGGACAGTTCCTGGCTTTTTCCGCATTGACTTTTCCTGGGACTGAGATCAAGTTGTGACGGGGGCAATTAGCACGATCAGCCAGTTGCACAGGTTTGGTTCTGTACTGAATGTTTTGAGAGGGCTAGGCGGCTATTCGTTGTGCTGTATGGGTTCAGAGAGGGAGTCCGCTGTGATAGCACCCTGTAGTCGAAAATCGAAGTGATCGGAAGATGTCCTGAAGGTATGGTCATCACCCCAATGTCATTTTCGAGATTTTCAATGAACCGATCTTTCAAGCCTGGAACACGACCATCAAGCCGTACCATGAGAAGATCGTGTCGGAGTCTTGCCTGCAGAAGAGTGGACAACCGCCCGGTGATACCAGTGGAACCCCCTTTTCTATTGCGGCTTTGCCCCTTGTGTTGCCCAAAGGCAGCAACATGCCAGTGTCGTACTCCCGAAGCAGCCAGTGTTTGGCTGATGCCTTGCACAGAGGCAGATTCAACCATACTCGTACCATCCTTACACATTGGGGCCACAAGAGCAGCCGGTTTTGTTTGTTGGCCCCCGCCCACACATGAAGCTTGGACATCAAGTTCCTTGCCGTGGGATTGCTTCCAACGCATCGACCACGGTGGTCGAAACCTGTTCGGTGTCTCAGGTCATTCGACAACATAGCTCGAACCTCATCATTTTGGGCACTGGCACCTGGTCCCAAGATGTGGACATTGCTGCCGAAGACCCAGCGCGGTCCCTGGTGACCCGCTGACTGAGAGAGACATGGACAGAAAGACCATCGCTGAGAATCGCTGTGAATCGCTTTTCTTTAGGAATTTGCTACACTTTCTTTGCTTGGTTTGCTAGTTGCGCATTGAAAACAACGCAGCACTTGTTGATGTCTGTTAGTGTGCAGTGCTGGATCTGTTGGGAAAGCTTGACAAAAAAGAGATTTGCCAAGCAGTTGGCCGAAGCAATATGGATTTGATTGCAAACTCTGTCAGCGACAGGTTGAGGGAGAGAATCTTGCGTACACTATCCATTTCTATGCCAACACCCACAAGCAGGACGGTTTCTCCGATCGTTTTACTTCATTTGAGCAAATTACTATTTTGCTCCTGCACAGGTGTTTCCCGTTAGTTTCGGGTTTGTTTGTGTTCGCTGCCGATCGGACGGAGTGCTCCGGGCCTGCGATTTCCCGATCTCCTTGCCCAGGAGCTGCGAGACAAGGCCAGGTAAGGGAATGCTCTTCTTGAGGGTGAGTGCATCGCTACTTGTAACAAGTGCATCGCCATTAGTAGCTAGAAGCCATTGGAATGCTTCAGAGCTGTGACATCTCACTTTCACCTTGACTTACCACATAACCTCAAGTCGCCAAGTTTAGAGTTGGGGTTGCCAGACATTGTTTGCAATCTTCATGGGACTCGGTGGAAAAAGGTCTTTTGAAAAGGCTTTGGCTGATTTGAAGAAAGACTTGAAGAAAAGGCCACGTATGTTGTGCGCTAGTAGAATGGAGGCCATTGCTACTAGTTTGAAGGCCATCTGAATCGGAGAGGTCCTCAAGGCTTTAGAGTCGGTGGCCATCTTTGCCACGGAGTGGGGCACTTGCGACGCCAGTGGGGATGGCACTTTGAACCTTGCAGAGGCTGGTGATCAAAACGAAGCGTTGCAAGTTGCACTGCAAGCCCTGCAAGCCCTGCAAGCCCTGCCAGCCGCTGGTTAGTTTACTTCGATACTTTAAATTCTTTCGCAGAAAAATGATATAATATCCTGCAAAGGGGCTGGTTTCGAGTTGTACAGGACGTTGGTTTCTGAGAGTTGCTTTGTGATCCTCTGAGACGAAGACCTGGCTCGACTTCTTTGAAGAGCATCATATCTCTGACGCCAATTGGGCCATCAGCGACAAACAGGAGGGGAATGGATGCTTTTCTGAACCCGGGAGGCAACTGAAGGAACAGGTAGTTCATTTCAAGGACTCAGTTTGGTGGTGATGGCCCCTGCAACACAGAGTTCTTGTATTGCAAAGGAACTAGCTCCGGAACTGTAGGTGTTCTGATGCATTTTTGCAGGGTTTGATTTCACCATGGGAAGGCCAACCATTTCAGTTGTCTTTGATCTACTCTTAAGAGGAGGAGGATAGTTTTTTTGTCCATTCTGAGGTCTCTCGCTTCGTCTCTTGAACAAAAGCTTTTCAGAAGAACCTTCAAGCCACTCCGGGCTTGCAGACTCTGGCAGGAAGCCTGTTCAGCCCTTCTTCCAGGCTGGCAAGAGTTTTTTGCTGGTGAAGAGAAGTTGAGATTTTTCTGGATCAGGCAAGCAGACTTGTGTTTGTGATTACTGTAACCTGCCACTTCAGGCGCCAGTGGTGATGGCGGTTGGGAGGATTGTGAGCTGACAGAGTCGGGACACTTCGTGAGGTGCGGGGTGTCGCTGCAACACAATGCAAGCTATATATCTTTGCTTGTAAGACTCGTAAGACCACAAATGAATTCGTGTCACGACTGCTCATGCAGGTCAACCCTATTGGGTGAGCCTATGCCAGCCACATTGCCAGAGCCCTGCCCGAGGCCACCGAGACAGATGCCTTCTTCCTTCTCTGAAAGTGCTAAGGGCCAAGCTGATTTTGTCAAACAGATCATACCACAGGCTGACAACGCCTCCTCCAGGGATGTGCGCAGATTCTACGGACGCGGCCTTGGTTAGTTCCATCAAGATGTGCTCTTGTGCGCACAAGGGCTGCCCGTATTACAGCTGTGGCCACCCAGGAGGATTGCTCAAAGAAGAAGTGTTGCAATGACTTGGGTGCCAAGTGCCTGGCCCAAAAGTGGTGCTTTGTACGTTCTCAGGCTGTCATGGGAGCATCTGCGGGTACTTTGTCAGTCAAGGAAAACCCTTGAAAGTACGGGCAAAGTGAGGAAGCATGGTGCAATTAATTGGCTGCTTGCACAAGGTCATTTAGTTTTGGTCAAGCTTTTTGAAGGGAGCATTGCCGTTGGGCGGCGACGAGCATGAACAGTAGACCAACACTGCTATGTTGCCACGGAGTGGTTAGGGCTCTCCTGCTAGTACAACTGTTGTCAAGAGCAACCTCCGGCCGCGAGTTGAAACGTAATACACCTTATTTCCTTCAGCGCAGATGCAAAGTCTACAGACTCTTCAAAACTGCAACTTTTTCGGGCATGCGGCATGTGGATTTGATTTGCGTGGGAAGCATTAAGACTGGATGTTTTGTGGTTTTGTGCGATGCCTGAGCACCTAAGCAATTGAGGTGCTTTCAGAAGAATAAGTACTGGGCCTCGTGCAAGTCCAGCTGCGTGAAAGGCCGCCAGTTCACGATGACGATCCTCTTTTCTGCAGTTTGTTTTTTTTTCTTTCCAGACATTTTTTCAAAGATTCGTAGCTGAATTGAGTAAGGAATTTTTCAAACCACGTATTAGACAATGTCACTAGACCCGTAAGTCCTAAGTCACTAGACCTCAGTATAAAGAAAAACAGGTCGCGTTTTGACATGTTTCGGTTCCACGCATCGATCGGTTCCAGGCATCGATCCCAGCGATCCTCCCGAGTGGGCGACTCCTTGGACTTGCAAGGTGGGACCGGTGGGACGGGCGAGGTGAAAACGACGTGCCTCGTGTCGAATCGGAAGCGAGACGTGTCAACAGTGTCAACTGTCAACGACGTGTGAATTGCAGGTACTTTGGTATCCAAATCTATTCTGTTGGCTCTTTCTTTGTGTCTTTTTGGTGACCAGCTGTGAGTAAAGAGGTACTGACCAGAGATGGTGACGATGATGAGCAGGATTCTGCAGCTGCCATGAACAAGGCGCCTGAGAGACAGATTCATTTTGGACATCTTTGCAATTCCAACCTAAGAGCGATGGCCTCCAACATATCAGGTAAAAAGGCAAACCTTTTTAGTCTTTCACATTCATGTGAAACTGTGAAACAGATCCTCGACGAAAGTTGAGGCGAAAAAACAAGGGACCGGCATTGACGTCATCATTCTTATCCCTCCTTTTCAAGTGAGGTGAACAATGCCTAATGAGTTGGACACTGATGTTAACTTGGTTAAATCAAGATGCACTGGATTTTATCTGTTTGCAAGTGGGTCATATGAGTCATATGTTTCGTTTAAACTCAGGTTCCCAAGTGACAGCATGAACCAACCCAGAAGTTGTTTCGTCACAAGGAAGCTTCCAAGCTCACCGCCTGACCTGGCGATGCCGTGATGCATTGGCGATGCATGAGGCTTTGCATCCACCACAAAGGTCAATGAGTGATGCAAGCAAGTCCAGAGTGCCGCTCTGGGACGCTGCTGCGAGCCTTTTCGCAGCAGTGAGTAGCAGTGAGTAGGCGGACCCAGTCCCTACAGGATCCCAGACATCTTTGCACATGATGAATTCGGTGAAGCCAATACAGATGCAAGGACATCTTTTGCGCGTCAGACCTGGGGGCACGGGCCGGATGTGATTTTTCACCGAACATGCAAACACACCCACAGAAAGAGAGAGAGAGAGAGAGAGATTTTGCTACGTTAGGAAGCCTGAATAGAACTTGTTTTGTACTGTGCCCATATCCTCCTCCTGGCAGATGCACTGTTTTTGAGCTTGCAACACTCTGAGTTTGCACTCAGAAAGGTGTTGCTGCATGAGCTGCTTGAAGAAAGAGCTGTTGGTGTACGGCTTTGTCTCTAGAAGAGCCAGGAAAGATGCTGAGCTCACGAATTAGCTGGCGTCAGTGGTCAGGGTTGTTGGTTGGCGTGTAGCTCGGCTGTTGGTAAAAGAATCAACCAGCTCAGCATACAGTTTGACCGTTTCAGGTCGCTGGGGCTGGATCTCCGGAGCACAATGAAGAGAATTGCAATTAGAGGAGTTGTCATCAGCTTGCTTTCTTTGGGTCAGTAAAATCTGTAGAACCGCTTGCAAAGTGATGAGAAGAAGCTCCAGAGGCCCAGTAACCCTACAGAGCTAGCCACTCTTTGGCGGTTTTGAGATCCGGCTGATAGGCTGAGAAAATGGTAACAGAGCCCTAGATCCACTCTGACAAAGCTTTGGTAGCTCACGCAGAAGATCGAAAGGAATTGAAAGGAATTGACAGGTACATTCGAAGTGACATGTTTGCATTGGGGGCAACGTTTGGAGATCTCGAGATGAGCCATGGTTGGACCCCAAATTTGGGCAATGTTCAAGGAAGCAAATTATCATCCCAATCTTCCATGTCAGTTTCTTTTGTTCAGTTTCCTCCCTTGGCTTCAACACCAAAAGATGAGTGCGCAGCCAGAACCATAGAGTCATAGAGCCATAGCACGGGCCGAAAAGCTCCTCACCACTCAGGTTCTATGGCAGATTCGGAGCTTTCTGCTCACTGTGAGGCAGGTTTTGGGTGCTTGGGTCCTAAAGTGTGAAGTGCAAAGACCCAGATCACCCAAAACGACCCAAGGACCCAAGGACGGATCTTGGAAAAGGTCTCACGAGCGGCTCACCCGAGACCAGGGACAGGTCTGGCGACGTGCGGCGTGTGGCGACGTGCGGCGACCGTGTGGCGCCAGGCTGCCGGTTTGGAATTGGCCGTACGTGCTTGGTGGCGGGGAGCCGGTCCAGGCTGTGGACCCAAGGAGGCGTGTTGTCATCTTCTGGTTCAGTTTCATTGGTTGTTTCCTTCGTCAGTGCTAAGAGACACTTGCAGTTGGAAAGTTGAGCTTAGCCACTGTGGCAGGCAGCCTGGCTTAGAAAGACTGCCTCCGGTGGCGTAAATGGTGGAGCACATATGCGGCTTCTGCGAAGTGGGTCTGGCATCCAGTCGGGAAGGGAAATTGAAATAGACGCAGCTTGAGGTGTGCCGAACAGTACTTACACCAAAGTTTGGAGCACCTTTTGCCATTCAGAGAAGAAATGCGAGAAGTATGAAGTCCAGTCTGAAGCTGCGAGTGTCTCTTAGTTCTATGAATTGTGCACTGTCTCTGAAGTTTTGAGAGCTGCCAGAATCCCCGAGCGAGTCCTGCAAAGCGGTGTGCAGCTCGGGCAGGAGCGGGGTTTTTCGGGGAGCCCAGCAGCACATGCGCGATGCTCCAAACGGGACATTTGATACATATAAGCTGTGTTGAGTGTTGAGTCACGTTTTAGAGAAGGTCGATTTTACAAAGACAGCACGAGAAACTCCTTGCACACTGTTCTGCGACAATGGAACATTAAATGTTTATTGCACGAATTTATACGTTGATGTTTATTGCACGCATATGTTGAGAGAAACCTTTGGCAGGTGTTAGCGAAGGACAAAGGCGTCACCAAGAATTGGCAGGACGTCGTAGCACCTTGGCCTGGAGTGCAAGAACTGTGCCCATAGTGTACAAATATGATCAAACATATATAACAAAAGTCTCCCTCACAGGTGTGGAGCTGGCTTGTTTCTGGATTCAAGTCCCCATTAGGACGATCACACTTGGCTACCTTCGGATGACGTGTGCTTGTTTGGGGAGACAGACAGACGGGCCCTGGGCCGTATGCGGCTGCCGTGGCTCGAAGCACGAGGCTAAAATGCAATTTTCAGAGCCACAACGGCAGCTTGGATGACTTGGATGGATTTTTTGACCCACACGCGCTTGCCTTTGTGACTGAAAAGGCCACAAGATTATGATATGACATATGACAAGAAGACTGTATGTCGTGACCAAGTGTTTTATTTTGTTTCACGGACTCAATTCCAACCAATGAACATGTGGTTCCTTGCATTAACAAGTTAAACACGTTAACTTGTCACGAATCCTTGTTAACTTGTTACGAATGTAACATGTTTGGTTTCTCTTCTTTTCATTTATTTGACAACAAAAATACGCTCAGGCCGCATGACATCGCCCCACAATCTGCTCGCTGTGCAACTTCCAAACGGCGTTTCCAGCAAAAGCTCATGGAGGCGAATGGATAAAGCTCGTTTGCTCGTTGCACACGCCAGTGCTGTAAAGGCAATGAACTCAACATCAAGCACTGACAGTATGTCACCAGTATGTATTACTATGATATGTTTGTTGATAAAGAGGTACCAGTGATGCTACAGAGAGTCTTGATGATTGACTGCACAACAGAAGGCAGGTTTAGTGATGATTCTTTTTCGATTCTCTGACATGCCAAAGTGGGTATTGCAAGTTTGAGGCCATCACTTGTGTAGTACGGACTTTTGAAGCCAGGCAATCCTTTTAGATGAAAGCTAGAACTTGGATGTCCCCAGCAATAAGGAGAGTGACTAATTCATGCCACCTGTTGATGTAGAGCCTCAAAACGTAAGACATATTTGCTCATCATTCTATCGCCTATATCGTTTTCATCCAGTTTCGTTTACATAGGGCAAAGACTTAAAGAAGTGCTGGCTGGACATGCCCCGGTGACCTGGCAGATCATGTTTTGTGTTTTCCACTGCCCTGGGTCAGGAAGTCAAGGATCACTTTGACATAAGAATGCCCAGCATCCCCGGCGCCATCCAACTCATCCCTAGGACGTCCAGCAGTGTCGGAAAAGGTCCAGTGAGACGCCAGTGGAACTTCTTGTTCCTCAAAGATTTTTGAGTGTGAGGTTCTGTCTCTTTTTTGCTCAGAATAAGCATGATTCGGGGCCTCTTTCTAAAGCCGTTTGAGATCATCAATTCAGAAGCAATATCGCTTCTTGACAGCACAACAAGGAAGGCTTTTTGCAGCTTGCAGATTGTCAGGAGGAAGATGCCCTCGCCAAACACTCCATCCTCTCGAGAGGCTGAGACTCATGCTAGTCAAGCAGAAAGGATAGAAACACATACTGACATACTTTACCAATATTTGACAAAAGTACTGCAAAGCAAATTTTCAAGCACAAATCTCCGAAGCTGGCAAACCGTTAAGGGGGCCAACCTGAAGCACTTTTGGCACAAACCAGAAGCTCTGTTCGGGATTAATATACACCCACAAAAAGGTCGAGCTCACTCCTGTTCAGACAGATGTATGCTTCATGTCTATCTCTTGATTCTGTCTATATTAATCCATTAACAATGACTGGATGAGATGCATATGTAGATGCATGAAAGCTGTTTGCGACATGGCAGGATGGAGAAGCTGAGAAGCTTCCTCCTGCAAAGACCGGGTGGCTTGGCAACATGTCCTGTCCAAGCGCTCTACTCGTGAAGTCTTTGCATGTTTTTGATGGACTGTAATGCGCCTTCATTGTGTTGCCTTGGCCCTCTTTTCTGCCAAAGGTCAGATGGACCTGCAAGAAGCTCAGAACACACAATTGGAGATGCCTGCACACCTCACAAGATGACGTGGTGAGGGCTCTTTGGACCTTTGGATATGAGCAAACAGCGCTCCAGGTGCCATCAGCAGTCATTGACCCCAGTTCCCACCTTCCTCATGCCGTTCATCCGAAGCAACCACCCAACAGAATCCAACTGGGCGGGTGAGCCAGCAATTGGCACACTGAAGCGCCGCATTGTGACGAGGAGAGCGTAAACACTGATGTGAAGTTTGAAACCATGACAAATGCGGTCGTATGGGAGGAAGAATAGTTCATTACAAGTAGACTGGAGGAACATCCATTATGACGCAAGCCTTGCTTTGGAGCATCACATGCGTCAGTTGGTGCATTTATTGAATCTTGAGGCTATAGATTTTTCAACTGTAGAATGTATAACGCACCATGCTTGAATTGAGGCTGGCCCTGGAAGCATCGCAAGCAAGGCCAGGACATTGTATGATGATTTTATGGGATACTGCGACACCTTAGAATGATGAATACTTTGGACACACGTTTTGATTGGCCGTTACACAACACTTGGGATAGCTGATCCGATCCACTTGGTGACCGTTTTGGAGACATGTTGGGCGATTGACAGCAACACACGGGTAGCCATCAAACTGTTCGTGTCAGTTGTTTCTTAACGAGACTCCTGCTGTTTGTGGCCCATGCTACTGAAGTGTGTGACTTCACCAGAAGCATCAATCACCTTGTGAACAGGTTCGTGCATGGCAGGCGAGGTTTGGACGGCATGCATGTGTTGAATGGCAGATTGTAGCTTGGTGCTTTAGGCGTGCCATGTCCATTTAGGTTGAGTGAGCAGGTATCGTTGTTGGGAAAGGGATGAGATGGGTACACTTGCTCTGTACTTTCAAGACAATATGATCAATATATGTATATATGCATATCGATTTGGCATATGCATGCAAAACCTTTGGAAAGGACATGTTAGTGAACTGAACCATTTGTTGAGATACATGTGCCCAGCTTTCCAGCGGTCAATCCTCTCATCCAGGAAGGTCAATCATTGTACCGCCAAGATAGCAAGGCGGTCGGGCTGCGAGTCCTGCGCGTTTCGTCGTCTGCTCGGGCATCGAACCAGTCGAGTGCATCATGCCAGTGCCTCGAGTCTCCCACCTCTTCCCCCTGTCTGAAATCTTTTGGCCAAGGCCGCCAAGGCCTGGATGTTGTCCCAAACTGGGCCTTTTCCCAAACTTTGCAATCTCTTTTGCAGCCAAATGCATAAGCCAGCAGTGCAGGCAAAATGAGTCCCTTGACTGGGTTGACATAGTCTTGAAAGATTTGCAGTGAAGCTGGAGCTGATTCATTCATTGACTTGATTCCTTTGTATGGCCCTTGATGTGAGGGTCAGCCGAAGCTGCCCCTCTTCCAAGAGGCAAAGGACGGACTCTGCGGCAGATTCTTTTGAATGAAGATTTTACGACGTAAGCGGTCCGCAGCTTTACGCCCCGTTGAGGAGGCGGATGGTGCACGCACTGGGAAGGCCCCAAGTCGGGTGAGAACTCTGAAGACTTACAGTAGCAAAAACAACCGGAAGACGATTCAGGAGGCATCGGAGAATATCTACAATGTTATCATGTCACTTGAATGGTACAGGTAGGCGGACATAGCAGCGGGGCAATGATGTATGCTATCCTGAAGGCTCCTTTGAAATCAGGAGGTATCAGCATCCGAAGAGGCTGCCTTTGCTCTTAGACTTTGGTCGATTTCCTTCACTCCCCACCCTTCGGTGCGTGCCAACATGGGCGACACCCGACTGGGCAGGTGCGACCAAAGCTGGACTGTCTGGGTTCTTGATCAGTTTTAATCGAATCTCCGTAAATCCTACAGTGTTGCTGGGGCCGAAAGTCTTGCTGCCTTGTGTAGTTGATGTACTCAATGTACTCCAAAGAATTATATACTTGGACTGAAGGGACATACAAAGCTTTGAAGGGAATGTTACAATGTTGGCTTGTTGCCTTCAATCTGACATCTAGACTCATCTAGACTCCGCTCCGCTGGCACGCAGGACCCAGAGGTTATTCAATCTCGAAAGGCTCGCATGGGACATGCTTTTTGCTTCCTTTGGCCATAGAGTTTGCTCAAGCCATGTCTCAGACGACACCTTTGGGTACCCCCAGTAAGCTTTCCGTCCACCCATCTCCGTGCCGCTGGTGCAGGACTTTTCTCACTTTTCTCGGCAACGCTCGATTGTGGGTATCTAAGAGACGATCGTCGATTGTGGGAACTCGAGTTGTCCAGTCTCCTCGGACGTGAAGAGAGCCAGACAGAAGAGAGCCAGGTCTTAGGAGGCTTGCTTTGGCCTCATATCGTGTTCAATGATCCCCGATCTCATCGTCCGGTTTTGCACACCGTTGTATGATTCTAAATTTCCGAGAACTAGCGAAGCAAGAATAGATCATAAGCATGCAGGGAGCAGAAACGGGCTTGCCAGTATTTTTGCTTTTTTGTTTATTCGTTGAATAACCAGGACAAGAAAACAACTCTAATTCCGTTGAAGAACCAAGGGCGACTCTGAAAGATCGACGAGCAAGGCGAGATGTTTGCTTGCAGAGCTGTGTTTTGCTTGCACAGTGCTTTGCAATGCTTTAATCTTTTTGAACACTTTGCGAAAGAGATGCAATTGTTGCATTGTTGCATCCACAGCCAATCTTGCTCTCAAAAACTCTTGTGTGACAATGTGCACAGTCCCCGTGGCTCTGTTTTCTTGCTGGGTCTAAAATATGCACGGGTCCTTGTTACTTGAGGATGCTTTGCCATCCACTTCTGAAGGGGAAGGAAAACTCTCCATCCTCACCGACATCTCTCAAGCGGAATTTCGCGGAGATCTTCCAAACAACCGCCGGCAAAATCGTAGAGCCTTGCACTGCAGACGAGCGCAGACAGGCAACAGATGGAAGACCTTGAGAGTATGAGCCACTTACAGTGAGCATTGAGGCCTGCCGAAAGTACCTAGAGAGGTGGCTGTTAGGCTGCAGGTCAAAAAAAGCAGAAGCTATATACTATGGTAGTTTGATCAGGCAAACCAGGGTCCAACACTCACCCATATCAAGTATGCTCACACTTGAGGGCTGCATGGGTCGCAATGGGTTGCCCACACGTTGAATGCCTCAGCCCTGCAGTCCTTTTCGCTTGAACCAGGAAAGGGAAAACCATTGTGTGGATGCCCAGAAGCCGCTGTGGTGCACTACCAAGTTTGAGAGGTCTAGTCTACAAGTGATTTTGGTTGCGGGTATTGAGAAGCTGCGAAGCTGCGCCACTGATACTGAATGCCTTCACTGGACTTCGCTGAGGCGTAGGCTCAAAGGCCCCACCAATACAAACAAGGGAGTCCCTGTGAAACGCTGAGCCAGAGTGTACCACAGACATGTGACACGGAGATGACCACATGCAGAAGTGGCCCAGTCTTTCGTTCAAAGCCCGTATCATGAGCAAGAGCAGCAAGATCTTTTTTTGTATTTTTATCACGGTGCAGTCGTACTATGGTGACTGTGACCCGGCATACCTATGCGCTGTTTGATTATCCATTAGAGTCGTAGCTACTGTTGTTCTTGTACTCTCGAGCGTCTAGTGATACCCATTGTCAAGTTCCCAAAAGTTCAGGAAATAAATCATTAAGCATGAGCCCTAGCCTGCCTCCAAGCGGCCTATATACTCAATAGGTACTAGTAGTGCTACTAGTAGCGTACTAACACACTGTTACGGCCTAACCCCTGCCACATGGCAAAAATAATTAACACAGATTTCCTAGTGATACAGTCTCAGAGCCGAAGACTTTGTTTTCATTGGTGGACCGAATATCGAAAAGCACTCAGGGAACAGTCTAGCTCCAGCTCCGGCAAGGCTTGGAGATTTGCGAAACGATTTTGCTTTGTGCAGTTGTAGCCGCATGTCCGACCTGAAATTTTTTTTCTCAGTTTTGCAACCAGAGTGTTGTTTCCACTCCCAGAGCAGTCAGATTTCGATTTCTGATCTTTCCCAGAGCAATTGGACCAGATGAGCTTTCACTTTTTGGGAAAAAGGCACTGCCGACCACGGATGTCCTGGCGCATGCGTTGCTCAGGGGAGACCTTTCTCCAGCATCTCCTGCAGCATCCTGGAATGCGTTCCCCATCTGCAGCTTCATTTGGACTGTCTCCTCTGGGACCATTTGGACCAGCAAGCACTCAAAGAGACAGAACATGCACTCCTGATTTGCACATTTCAAGGTCTGAGGTCTCAGACCAGGACCTTTGATGGGACTCCTACTGGTACGAGACCGACTGCTGAAGCGTGACGACGTCGTACGTCTAAGTCGTTGGGTCTCTACGTCTCACTGAACATCGGAGCCTCTACGTCGTCGACGTCGTTCAGTCGTCCTCTCTCGTTGGCCCGCTCCAAGGTGGGACTTTCACAAGCGGGACAAAACCGGAGGCGTGCAAGTTTTGTGGCTGATCTAGGAGCATGTTAAACCGTGAAGAGCGTTTTTCATCGGGAACATCCCGACAAGTTGGAGGTCCAAGTTGTGTTCCAAAAGGATTTCCAAAACGGTGGAGGTCCAGTTCGACTGGGAGCTGAGTGTTCAAAGCCACAAGCCATGAGCTCCACAAGCCTTCAAGCCAAGGAGTCGAGCCATGTTCACCCACTTCGCCACGACCTACAGGACTGCAGTCGGACTGCCGTTGACCAATGCTTTGTCGCACGTGGCGGCACACGGCTTTGTGGCTTTGTGTTCTTTTGTGGGAGGGTGGGTGTTGCAACTGGCGAATCTTCATGCAAGTTGTGGACAAGTCATCTCCTGTGGTTGTAGAGTTCTTCGTTCTTTTTGTGGGCCTTTGCTGCTTGACTTGCTTAAATCATCGGATGCCTTCAGATTTGCTGAGGAACACCCAAGCGTCAGGGAACCAGCAGCAGCAAGTTTGATGAGTACCTCACTGAGATTTGTGGGACCTGCTGTCGTGTGCTGTTTGTCACCTCTTGTTTAGTGTTAAGTGTGAGACATTGATCGGGATGAGTCTCGGGCGACCGAGGTGGGCCAAACGGAAGGAGGAGCAGAGGCACCTCCACCATGAAGAGCAAAATCCTTCTATCGAATCAAAGCGCTAGTGCTGAATAGATCATTCCAGGATTTGAATGGCAGTAGCAGCTTGATTTCCTAAGCTTCCTCATGGAGCTTGCAACGGGACTTTCTGCCTTGGTAGGTTTGAGGAGGCGAAGGAAGAAGAAGGGAGCCGCTTGAGCCATTTATTCAACTGGGCCACTTGAGAAAGAGCTCTTGTTTCGGAAGGTTAAAACACCAACTTGCGCCTCAATACTACAGTTCCCTTTTTGCGCATGGCATTCCACACACACACTCACTCTCTCTCTCTCTCTCTCTCCCTCCCTCCCTCCCTCCCTCCCTCCCTCCCTCCCTCCCTCCCTCCCCGCGCAAGAGCGACCTTGGAACAAGAGCACTAATATATGACAGGAGGCGCGCCAATATACTTGCTAAAGGAGACTCCCCCCGGGACTGGTGGGCAATGCATCGAATGCAAAGGTCCTTTTCCACAGCCAGCATCATAGAACGACATGAGCCATGTCAATGGAACCCAGTCGGTAGTCTGATCCAGGGTGGACACACCATCATCAAGTTTTGAGAGTGGGGTTTGGGCCTGGGTGGCTGGTACTGGGCATGCCTTAGTTCTTGCAGAGCCTCTTTATTAGCCAAAGGTTGTTGTTGACAACCGTTATATAACTCTGTTTTCTCTAGGATGCTGTCCACTCTGCAGGTCGAAAGCAAAAGGATATGGATCCAAACTCCGGGGACAAAGAGAGGACCAGCCTCCTCAGTTCCTTGGTACGCACACTTCCTTAAGCAGACTTGTTTCAGTCTTCTCACAGACCTTCGGTTCAATTGTTTTTGATGGTGCTCAGTGCTCTCTGACAAGTCATTGGCATCTACTAATCTTTACGCTCACCCTGTCCAGATGATAAAGCCGTGGCCATGGGCCTGGTCAGCAAAAAGGCTGGGTGACAGAAGCGAGTGGGGTTGTCACATGCGAGATAGGTAACGTAAGCTAAGCTAAGATTAGATAAGGTTTAAGGCAAGGCAAGGCAGATAGATAGACAGGCAGACAGATAGATAGAGAGGGAGAAAGAGAGAACAAGATAGAGAGAGAGAGGTCAGGCGGTAGGGCGTTCCGCGGACAAACTAGAACCTGGAAGGTTTCGAGTTGAACACGGGTTGGATGAGAATTTGGTGCAAAGAAGAAGACAACCATATAAAGAAGTACCAAACAGAAAGACAGTGAGAGCGCGCGAGAGAGAGAGAGAGAGAGTGAGAGAGAGAGGGAGAGGGATAGAGAGAGAGAGAGAGAGTGTAAGGGAGAGAAAGAGCAACTTCCAGATTGCCACTGACAGCAGCTTCATAGTTGCGAACTGTGAAGCCTTCTTGGATTTTGCACGCAAAATCTTGCAAGAAATAAGAAATGGTTTGTGTCGATCGCTGGGAGACTTTTATTGACAGAACAGGTGGGGACGGTCGTGGTTAAAGATGGTTGTGGTTGGAGTCCCGAAAGAACCCAGATCCCAAGTTCCTGCACAACCCCGGCTGCTTTTGCTTTCTTTGGTTTACTTTCGTTGGTGTTGGTACCAGGTGTCTCTCGCAGTCGCCTCCACCCGACCTGCAGGCTGTGACGGACCTGAACTCCATCCGCAGAATCTACATGGACTTTGATGCCGATGGAAGTGGCCTCATCGAACCACCAGCCGCTTGGTGGAACCATGCGATGCGGTCTCTGAGTCTCAGGGCGCAGGGCAATGAGGCAACTGAACAAGTGCAGAATCTGTTGGCAGCATTTGTTCACTCAATAGCCATGATTCAATTCAATATCAATATCATTCGCCGCGTGGAAAGGTACGTTCGGTCGTTTCTGGGGACAAACAGTCATACCTTGTCCGAGTTCACAACAGTCAAGGAATTTATGCCGCTCTTGTCCAAGTTGCTGCGTCGAAAGCCGGAGGACTTGCAGGGACAGTTGGGAGATTTACTGAGACCATTGAAGTCACAACTTTTGTCTTTGCCTGGCTGCCTGGCCCAACTTTTGGCACGTTTCAGCCGACTGAATAGCTGCAAAGGAAATGTGAACACGTGGTGCAAGCCTAGTGTAGTGGTGATGATCTGTTGGCAAGAGGTTTGAAGGGCGTCTTTTTGGCAGCTTGCTCAGCGCTTGAAGTTGAGTAGCTCCAAGAGAGCTTGATTTCACAAGCCTACCATTCAATGCTCCTTTTTCCGAACGTGTCGGTAGTAAGATGTTGCTCTTCGCCATCCGGACCTCTTGGGCTGCCATTTCTGCACGATGATACGTTGTTTTTGGTTTGTGCCATTTGAGGAGCTGGACAAGAGGGAAGTTTGGGCCGTCTGGGATCAGGCAGCAGTGGGCAGTGGATTCTCTGACCTACATGTGCCCGTAAATGGGATTGCGCAAGATCAGCAGACAGTATGCCATGCCCATGCCACGTCTGTTTCGTTGGAGATATGAGTAGCTGCTCATCAATCCCTTGTGTCAAGCTGCGATCACGTATCGGTGAGGTGGATAGCGATGGCAGTGGAACGATCGACTTCGATGAGTTCCAGCGCTGGTATGCGGAGCTCATGGGGATTGATGCTTGGACGGGGCAAGGGGAGGAGCTTCGAACTAGTTCTGCTTATATATATACATCAATTGAGAAATAGGACAACTAGAACGCGTTTGTGTGAATTCTGTGTGTTTTATGCTTATGGCAGAACAGCACAAGCCGCATGGAGATGCTTATCCACCCTCAGGACATCTTGGACTATGGAGAGAAGTTTATCCCTGAAGAGATCTCGTATCCTGGCAAAGCTGTGTATGCGAATGGCATCCATGGAATCACAGTGCAACTGACCTCTTTACATTGCTTTACGACTGTAGTTTGAAGAGAAACCAGGCCTGCAAAAAAAGACTTACTAAGAATTTTGCACATTCATTTATATAGTCAGATCTTACAGTTTGTCAAGTAAGTTCACTGCTTCATGATTCTGCTGTTTCGGTGGAACCTTTTGGGCACAACCACCTTGGTGAGTAAATGAGAAGCAACTGTTCAAAACAATTTCCTGCAGGTTCATTGATTGATTTGCCTGATTATCCTTTATTTTTTTTGTATTTGTAGCCTTTAAATCCTTCTGAAACATAAACATTCTGGTCATTTTTGAATCCTTCTGAAACTTCATTTTCGTTTGCACTCTGCAAAGGTGTTCACAGATCAGAGACCTTCAATCACGAATGAACTAAGGGGTGACCAGATCATGGTCAGAAACGTGGCCAAGAACCTGAACCGATCCATTCTCGAGGTTGAGAAGCTCTATGTGCCTTGTAGAAGAAAGCATTGTGTCAGAGGTCCCCAAAGTTACAACAGGTGCTGGGTTCCAAAAGCCAGTTCAGAGATGTTTCGAGACTTTTGGCGCGAGACACATATCACAGTAGAAGCACCAGGCACAAGTGGCTTCAAGCGCTATGCTCACCCAGGATGAGTTCAAAAAGCTGGACACTGACAACAGCAATACCCTCGAGATGAATGAGTTCCGGATCTTGACGCTCATCTCTGACTCCGCTGCACTACTTCACAGATATCATCACTTCATTTGTTAGTAGCGACAGAGTGTGCTGGAAGAAATGATGCCCATGCTTTCAGTTTGGTATTCCACACTTGAACATTATCTTTCCCGACTTTCTTCCAGAGAGGGAAAGAGAAGGGGAGAACGTCAAGAGATGTTTGTATACGTATGTATTGATCAAGCAAACATTTTTTGCGTGGAGTGAGAGGAGAACTTGCTCGACACATGTCCGAAGTCCTGTTGTCACTTGCAGCTGCCCAGGATTCAGAAGGAGTTTGCACCTAAAGGTCCCGAGGCTATCGAGAACTGAGTTGGAGAAGCGGACGATGTCACCACAGACAAAGTTTGTCAACATTTTATGCCCAGTTGCCACAATGGCCGCTCGTAGTTACTAGCACCCCTAGCACTTTGGTTCACGGAAGGTCGGAGTCGATTTCTGGATGCGGATCTTTTTGCTTAGAACTCAAGACGCAGTCTCAGCCGGGTAGACCGAACAGGTCGTTGATGTTCTGCCAGGTTCCAGAACATGTATTCAAGATGTTCTGGAAGGACTTTGACAAAGATGGCCGTGGCTCTGTGTACCTGGGCTGATTTCTGGATACGGTGGGCTGACTGGGACTATGGGCAGTTGAACATCTCTCCATAGTTTGTCATCAGCATGTTGAGCAGGCGGCTTGTGCTTTGGGAGCAGTAGCACGAACTTGAGATGAGTGTAAGCTTGAGACCAAATTGCTTGGAAGATGTCTACCTCGTCGACCAACGACGTTCTCCATGCTCGCCTTTAAGGACATTTGTCGATTTCTGCACCTGGTACTTGAAGCAACTGAGCTGAAACGTTGGTGCAACTCGCACTTTGACCTAGAACGTCCATACGCTGTAGAGTTTGGAACTTTGGACCAAAACCGTTCTTTGGCCTCATCAATGGACCACTGTATTTGCCGATGATGTCAACATGGGATGCCTTTGGGTGAACATTTTGTGACCTGTCTGGATTCTGTTTGGAAAGAAGCCGCGTTGTTTTCGCACTGAAACTGTTGATTGGGCACCCGGAGACCTGCTGGCATCTCCAGGTTCATGAAAGGAGACTCCTCTCCCATGGAACAGCCACTTGGTTGCAAGGCAAGAGTGCTTTGGAGTGCCAAGAACGCCAAGCGTGTAGCTCTTTTGGCCTCTTGTTCTTCTTGTTCTTGTTGTTGTTGTTGTTGTTGTTGTTGTTGTTGTTTAATGCTCGTCACACATTCATTTGCTACCGTTTTCTCGATTTTGCTGGACGTAGTTCTGCATTACTGCATGTTGTTGTAGTCTTCTATATTACTTGATGATTTCATTTCAGGTCTTGGCTTCTGGTGGTTTCCACACACACAATATTTGAAGTCAAAACCAGGTTGTGTTGCTTTTTGTCCACCACGTGAAATTTACGCAGGAGAAGGTGCTTTTTTGGACCCTAAAATACTGGTGCATCATTCCCTTGACTCAGGTACTTTGCATACATGCCTGTGGCTTAGACGGCTTACACTCAGATCAGATCTGTATCTTAGGTTCTGGCCAATGCTTAGGAACGGTGGTAGAAAGTCCACAAAAGGTTCTTCAGTTTTTCACTTCTATCGGAGGCGGAAACAGTTTCATGAGAATGTAGTACAACAGGTGCAACAATAAAACACCATTTCCCCTTCAGACATTGGAGTTGGACATGATGCGGAGCAGAATGGCAGCGTTTTTTTTACTTTTTCTCCATTGATTGAGAATACAGCTACTTTACTCCAATGTCGATGTTTTTGTCTCTCAATGTCAGTTATCTTTACTCATCTTGTTCTTGCAGGCTCTCTGAATTTGAGTAGCTCGATGTTTTTGGGCGCCCAGGTCTGCAACACCCGGCGCACGCTGAGGTGTCGGGGAGACGAATCCAGTCTAAGGTAGACAGGGGAGGTGACGGAGCGGGTGAGAAGGTGGTGAGGTGAAACATCTAGGAACCGAATCATTAAGGCCGGGGGCGACCTTCCTTGAAGAAGCCCGTGCCTTTCTGTGTCCTATGTACTTGTGGTAGCTACTTAAGCTTAGTAGCTACCTTTTCTTACTTGCTTAGCTAGTGTAAGCCTCTTATGGCCAACAATCCGCACGGTTAAAGACACAGCACTCATGTGGAGCGGGTGGTGGGAGGAGTTACTGCAGGGGAGAGCCAGTGTGACAAGACCACGGAAGAAGGTTGTGCTCTGTTCACACCATCCACAAATGCTATATATAAATAGATTATATGAGACTGTGAGCTAAGTTAGCCTTTGTCCCTTTTGGTGCATGTTTTGCAGCTTTGTTTTTGGGTTCTCTGACTCTCTTTTCTTTCAAGTGCTGAGTTAATACCTTCTGGTTGTACCCCAGCGTGGTGCTCATATGTGCTGCCGCCTTAGCCAGGACTCTCCAAAGGAGAGAGATCAGCGATCAGCCATGCCTGTCGCGTTTTGGCGCAGGCGCGGGTTTGCCAGCCCTCGCTTCAGGCTAATAGACCTCTCAGCTTTGTCAAAAACTTTGTGGGCAGAAGATTTCTTTGTCTTTATCACGCTCCAAGTCTTTTGGGCACAGAGTATCAAACATTTTGCACCCTGATCAGTCTGATGGTCCTCAGTCTTTGGGATAGTCGAGGCCAAAAAACTGATAGACCTGGGTCGAGCATTAGAGTTTTTGGGTCTCTAGACATTCAAACTCAACTGTTTGATGTAGAACCTGGATGTCACGCAATGGCAGCTTTTTGTCTTGGACACTGGCCGAGGTTGTTTATTGAGCCTTGTGGCTCTCTGATTGGAGTGGTCAAAATGCCGGTTGGCGGAAAAAAGCAACTGATGCGTGCAGCATCCACACAATCCAGATTGCTGACTCATCCACGCTTGGCTGGGTGGAATTGCTCAACTGCGACATGGTTTGCTGCAGTGCAGACGTCACTCAGATGTTTTGCTGTTTAGTCTGCCCTGCCCCAGGGACTTTACCAGCGCGGTGGCCTGTGATGGACAGTGCCAACAAGGATTTTGATCGAGATTGAAGACTCTGAAAGAGTGGAGCAAACAGAAACCAGCAAAGGCTTCTTACCATGGACTTTTTATCGCAGTTCACAGGCTGCCCGGCAAGAATTCTTGATGATACAGCTTTCCTTCTTGCGGACAGATTTCCTTCTTCTTGGGGCTTTGCAGATCTGCAACGGCATCGTAATTAAGGATCAAGAACAGAAAACATAATCCAGGAGAGACGAATGACATGAAAGGGCGGGCCAAAAGGTTGCATTTTGTTTCCAGTTGGTTTTAGTAGACAACTTTTGTTTGAAAACGTGCCTCTGCTCTTAGGCAATCGGGCCGTACGTTTGAGCGAGCCGTTGGTGCATTCCTTGTTGGCCTTGCTGAAAGGTCCTGTCCTTAGCTCCGCAGCGTGCCACGCCCTACAGGGCGCAGGGTGTTGTACGCCTCGCGCACGTGCTCAGGCTGTCCCACCTCTGAAGTGTCGGAGGCCTGCTGTCCAAAGGACAAGACAAGACCACATGATTCGGTTCCATGCTTTAGGTTTTAAGATACTTGCTAGTGGATATCAAATAAGCTTCCAAGCTCATGTAATAAGTGTACCATCGAGTTTAATTAGTTGCTTATTTGTTTAGGCGTTTGCAGCCCATGGACAGGGACATTCCCATGTTTTCTCATGTGCCTCCTGTGGCCTAAGGCAAGGGTTGAATGATTTGAATTTGATCGCACATGCGCTTGACTCTTGAGCTGCGATGTCATTAGGCTTTAGACATCTTGGAACACGTACAAGCAAGAAATGTTCAGCAAGAGATGGAGACGAGGCGAAACCTTCAGCCCCTTGAAGCGGAGACAAACTCGCCCCTGCTGAGCAAGTGACTGCAGAACCTTGTTTTTTGAAAGAATTCGTTAACATCTCTGCCGGTGTTTGAGTGGCCAACATGGGGCGCCGGCGCTCTGTGATACCCTTCATCACAGTCGGACACTCAGGGAGCAAGGTAGACTCTCTTTGCACTAACACATGCCACATAGAGCGCTTCTCTGTGCTGCTTTGTTACGAAAGCCAGCCGATAGGCTAGGCTGGAGTTGTCGATAGGCGAACAAAGTGAATATAGGAGGTGTGGGGGGGGGTGGTGACGTAGCCGGCCCGGCAGGGTAGGGCGAACCCAGAGCCTGGTGGGGCAGAGCGAAAAAAAGAGGCGGTCCGGAGAGTAGTGAAAATGTATGGTTTTTGGGGTGTTGTGACGCCGAATAGTGCATTTCGACAAGGGATGGGAGTTCATGTCGAGGACAGGGAAGGGGGGACAACGTGACGGGAAATGAGGTCGGAAGCCCACCAGGAAAGTGAGATGTTCGTCATTCAGCCCTCTGTTTTCTCGTGGCTAATAAGAGTGGAGGGGAACGATGTCACCCTTAGAGGACAGGAGAGGGAACAGAACGCAGTCAGCAGCCTTTGCGTTGCTTGGGGGAGCCCCTTTCTATGGTGAAGAGGGCTGTTAACTGGATGCAAAAGGGCTCAAGGGAAGGGCTTTGGACAAGGGGTGGGAGTTCATGCCGAGGACAACGAGGTCAGGAGCTCACCAGGAAAGCTTGCACTTCGGGGGCACCCTTTTTCTTGTCGTTTAGGGGCATGTCCAAGGTGAAAAAGGGCACCCAAGGCACTGGAGGGGTGTTTGGCTGCCGCCTTCACCCCATAACCGGATTGAGGTCTTCTTATGGAGGCTGGCATTCGTCCCCTCCCTTCTCAGGTCAGTATTTTTTGTTGTGCCAGCGCTTGGACGGAAATCTATTTGAGGCATTCCAACATCTTGGTTAGACCAGTCAACATCAGCAAGGGTCGTCTTCTTCCACAGGTGATCACTGCATTGTACTGACTCTGTAGCTGTGCAAGCAGCCAAACTGGCAGGCGTTGGCCACCGCTCTTGTTCTTTCTCCCAGGATGCCACAATAGTTCATGCAACGGATAGGCGGAAGGGACTCTTGCTTGAAGTGAACCAAAGAGCGAATTAACTAAGGCTGCAGCTTTGCTGAAATGCGGAACACTCGACTTCCTCTCAGTGTTTGGAAGCAGGCGCAGCCTGAGAGCCGCAGCCTGCTAGCCGTCGAGTAGTGGGGTCAGCAGTTGCTGTACATCAAAATGCAGCAGGTGCAAGACTAGGAAGCCAGAGACCCAGCGATGCAGGCCCGTGCGCAATGTTGCACCAGCCCTGGGCATGGGCTGTAGCCTATTCTCTTGGCCGGTCTTGGCGCAAGAAGAAGAGGCAAGACACGAATGTGTCGCTTCGAGATGACAAGGGGTTCAAGGTTGGTAGCTTTTGGTAGCTTTTGGTTGCCATATCACAAAACCCAGCCGATAGGCTAGGCTGGAGTTGCGGATGGGCAAACGAAGTGAGTATAGGGGGTGTGTGGGGGGGTGACGTAGCCGGTCCGGCAGAAAAACACTAGCTGATCTAGCTTCAAAGTGAGATGCGCACAAAAAACCCGAATAGAACGCAGTCAGCAACCTTTGCGTTGCTGCGGGGTGACCCTTTCTATGGTGAGGTAACTGGATGAACAAGGGTGCCCCTCAGAGGTACGGATTGAAGTCTATCCCATGCCCAGTAACAGTGGATGGGAGTTGATTCTTGGCCAAGGTGCTTGAGCCTAGAGGTGTCCCGCGCTTCAACCCAATGAACAACCGCAGCGCAACAAGCGCGCGGCGAGGTCACCGGATGAACGGTCTGGCCCAGGACTTTGACCTGCGTAGGGCCGAGTAAACAGACTTTGGATCCGCGCAGAGAAGATCTGGGCGCCGCCGCGAGTGCAGGTGTCATTTTTTGCACAATTTCGGGTCTTCCTTCTAAATACCATTTCCCCGTGCCTAACAGCAGTAAAGGTCGGTGCAATGTCAACTACACAAGCACATAACCTTGCCAGTCAACATTCATCGGTCCACTTTTGGCCGCGCACCGGCTTTCTGATTCCGATACAAGACAAAGAAACGAACGGCAGCCAAACACCTGTGCGTTAGGGGTGCGCCCCTAAACCACAAGAAAAAGGGCACCTCTGAAGTGGAGGAACGATCTCACTCACAGGGAGTTGACCAGGCTAACTGGGTGTGTCCATCCAGTTGCCGACAGCAGCGGCGAGAAATGGCATCCTTACCACTGCGTCTTGAAATGGCATCTCCTGGAAAGACATAGAACGCAGTCAGCGACCTTGGAGTTGCTTGGGGGTGCCCCTTTTAATGGTGAAGAGGGCTGTTAACTGGATGAAAAAGGGCACCTCTCATGGCGAATGAGAGTTGGTCCACGCGCTATGCCTTTTTAAGCTCTGGTCTTCATTTTGTGTATATAGAGCCTATCCTATCCATCCTCAATGCGAGACTTTGCGCCTCTCTGCCTTCTATTTCCCCATGCCTGGCAGCAGTTGAAGTGCGCTGTTGACTTCACCCCATAGCCACATTGATGTCTTCTTACGGAGGCTGGCTTTCGTCCCCTCCTTTCTCAGGTATATATATATTGTGGAGTATTTCTAGTGCATTTTGGCTGCGGCTGCTACACACCGCTTGTATTGGAAGTTCCAGAGAAGTCAATCGCCTTTGGCAGATTCGGCAAAATCAGCATCTAACAGTGATATGCAGCCATGCAACACACACACACACACACACGCGCATGTTTCAATGAACCCTGCGCAGGGAGACCCGCTGGGCTTTGCGCTGACCTTGCTGGGTGTAGCTGTAGGGAGCCCTAGGCGTCTTGAGAAGTAGAACTCATGTTATGTTGTTTCGCGTTAAGCCCTTCATTTTTCTTTGTTTCTAATAGCGATGGCCTCCAACCTAAAAGCAATGGCCTCCAACCGAAGAGCGATGGCCTCCAACCCTTGTTGTTTCTTATGAATTTGTTTTTGTACATCAGCCTACAAAATTTCAAGTGTAGCTGGGGGTTGGTTCCCGAAGAGCCCGTCGCACTTGATGGTAATTTTTCACCCGACAGGTAGTGCTACTGGGCTTTGGCTTTGTCTACTGGGTTTTTACTTTAAGTCCAGCCAAAGATGAAACTGGACGCGCAAAGGCCGGGGCTTTAGGGTTTTGAGTGCTAACAGCTGGGGGATGTTGCTGTCGAAGATACACAAAGACCAACATACAGAAGTGACACAAGTCAAAGACTGCTGTTCCACGATAGAACAAAATTCTTCCCTCAGCAAAGCTGGTTGCGTCAGGCCTCTTCACTGCAGGGCTTGGAGGATATCGAGAAAAAACTAGAGATCATGGATAAGATGACGCCCGAGGAGGCAGATGATGCTTGTCCACAACAAGTCCTGTGAGCCAAGCTATTTGTTGGGGCCAGCTTGGTGGAAGGTCAAGTCGAAACGCCTATATAAGTAGACCAGTGATACTTAGGACTCTCTTTGTGGAAACCAAAAACATCTGCTTCCAGAATCATTTTTTTGATAGTGTTTCTTGGATGAAAACAACTAGTACCTAATATCCTAACCAGGCAGAACGTGGATGAGTTGGCTCACGCATCTGAGACATGGTGACAGCGAGACAAACAGTCTGAGGAATACCAGATGCGACGTGGTGGTTTGCAAAAAGAGCGAAAAGATGCAAAAGGGGAGCAGCAGGAGTTTGAGTACCAAGCCATTCCTGGTTGTGACACTGTCTACACAGTGCTGAAGGACAGACATGCTGCGTTCAACACCGGGGTTTGTCACTGCCTTGGCTTATGGAAAAGAGTTTCTGAACATGGCCTTTGCCCTTAGCGCACAGATTGGTTTTGCGATTTATGAAAACGGTATTGGCCTCTGGTAGGGCATACCTGAATCTAGGATCCTTCAAGAGTTGGCGCAATGCATTTGTGTACCTGCATCTGAATAAGCATCTTGCATTTCGCCAATTGTCCAGTGCAGATTGTCAGTTTGAAGCTGCAATATCCAATGCAAAAAGATACTGCCAGTTTATTCGATTGCGTAAACCTCTAGCTGCAATTCTACCTATGATATGAGATGCAGAGCAACAAGCAGTGGCTGCGACTCCCCCGTGCGCACTCAGATTTTGACACTCTTGCTGAGTGGGGTGTTTATCCGATTTTCTGTCTTTGCTTCGTCCGCTTTGAATCTTCAGGAGGGTGCACCTGTGCCTTAGCACAACTTTTGAGACTGTCCGGATAATGTTGGAAGAAACTTGATTGTATCAATCTTCCATTTATATAATGTTGACGGAGCTAGTTAAGACCAACCCCTCCGAACGAGTCCTGGATGTATATACCTCTATTACTTTGATACTGGTACATCCTTAAATGGGTGTGGTGATTCTTCAGCTTCTTGTGGGAAGAACAGGCTTGTTGTAAGTGCGTTGTGCTAATGCCTAGCGGGTTTCTAACCTGTAGTTCGGGTGGTTATTTTTTGCTGAGTTTTTCCACAAACAGTGTGTCCACACCGGGGGGTTCTTACGGTAGGTGTAAAAGCCCGGGCTCGATCAGGGTACGCTCTTTGTGCCCGCGCGTTTTGGCCGCGCAGGCTCGCAGAAAAGTTCCGTTCTGATGCAATTTCTCTGCGCAGGGTCGCGCGAAACGCTGGCCGCGGGACGGTGCTTGACGGAGGCGCGCTCTCGACTGCGCACCGTGCCGATTTCCGGAAAGCCGTCAACGTGCAAAGTGAGGGTTTTGCGAGGTGTGGCAAACCGTGGCTTGAAATTGGAGGTGGTGAAAAATGTACTTTTTTTCGAGGCAGGCGTAGTCTTTCATCATACGTGATCTCGTTTGGTGAGACTGGTGTCAATTTTGGAGCGGCTATGTCGGCTATGTTGAGATCATTTCGCGTGGTAGGTGCAGGATTTTGTACGCCTCGGGCTCATTTGTTTGTGGCAGGCGCAATAATGTGTCACAAAGCATCGAAAAATCGCATTTTGTATTGTAATGGCGACGACAAGTTGTCATTGGAACTTTGTTTTTTGCGTTTTGCTGTGGCGCGGTGCAAATGTCACTGTCGCAAATGCAACCTTCTCGGGACTTTGTGCGTGTCGGACCGCTGTGGCTGTAGCGCCGTGCTCAGTTTGCTGATGGAATGTCGTTGTCAACGCAAAGCATCTCTTTTTCGTGGTTGTGCAACAATCTCGGTGTTTTGTGCATGTCGGATCGCTCTCGTTGTAGCGCTGTGTCGGTTTTGACTACATCTTTGCAACCCTCTCGGCGTTATGCGTGCCTCAGATCGCTCCGGCTGTAGCGCGGCGTGCATTTTCATTTGGAGACATGCATCTTGTAGAGGATCCTGAGACATGGATCCGCGAGCTGGTTGACTTGCAACTCTCTGCTGAAGTGCGACAAGGGGAAATGCTGTGCTGGTGATGTTTGTTTTAGTTTTGGCAACCAACATGGACATTGAAGAATATGTATAGCGCATTCGCGTGTGAATTGCTTCATATTGCCTGATATTGTTGAAACAGTGTGTCCACACTGAGTCCTCTGTACGGTAAGGGAGTAGGCCTGGGTGCGATCAGGGTGCTCGCTCTGATCTGCGCGTGCTCACAGAAAAGTTCCTGTCTGGGATCTCCAAACGTAATTTCTGCGCGCCTCGCGCATGGAAACCTTGGAGACAGAGGTCACCTTTTGGTGTAACTTTGTTAGGGCTTTGCAGGGGGCCCTCTTGTGAGGAAAAATATTTCGAAAGAATTCATCACTGGGTCAGAAGTGGAGGCTCCTACCGAGATTCCCTGCTCGGCAGTGCGAAGGGCTGGGGGCCGTCCAGCGCCAGGCATCAATCAGCATCATCAGTTCCGAATAAACAATAACAGTTAGTACTGTCAAACGAGTCAAATCAATCAGCCTAACAATCAGCGGTCGGCTTTCAATCAAGAACTCCAAGTTTCAATTTGCTCCACGCAATGCATTTATTTCAGCGACTGGCGCTGGAGAACATGCGGCTACGCACTGAGAACTACATCCTCCAGAATCAGTACGAGATCCGCCGAGCTGCTGTGGGACCGGATCTAGTCAGTTGACAGTTGCGGACCATGTGGCCACATGCGGTTTTGCGCGGCCTTGGTGGAAAGTGCATATGCGTCAGTCCGTGCCATTGGGGGAAGGATTGCACGCTGGCGTAAATTCGGCGTGTCGCTGGAGCGGGATGATTGCCGGTGCACACTTACCTTGTTGTATCTACTGTGTGGCACGCCGTTTGGCCAAATTAGACCCACCAATTTCCTTTGAGCGCCAAGTGGACCAGTGGGGTTCGTCCCATACCTTACTATGACATACAGTGATACAGTGCGCCTTAACGCTCCCGGGCCATTGTCGTCCAGTTGCAGGTTTGCTTTTAAGTTCTAATGCGGGAGGACTCCCCCGTGGTGGTAGTGGTGTGGAGAACATGAGCACCAACAATTGCAAAACCTCATAAATGTGTGTTTGATCGCTAGCTGTTAGCTGAAACCTCGTTCTTGTGGAAACCGTTTGTAAACATGGGGTTCTCCTGTTGAACGCAAAACATCAACTTTGTAACAGGTACTATACTTCTCAAGCCTTCCTCCACGAAACACTCCTTGACAAACCCTTGCAGACCTGCGACTATTCCAATGAGACTTTTGATTTTTTCCGTCAGAGGGACATGTTGATGTGGGATCATTTGTTACAGCCAGTCTTCCGAAATCTTGGAGGGGCCGACACTGAAGAGGGCCCTCATGTTGCCGTGCCACTGAGGGCGCCACGGTGGAGCCTGGAGATGAAGTCACTGTGCATGCCACGGGGCTGGTGACAGCGACCAAGAGCAAGTTCTGGAGTACCAAGGTGGTGGGACGCGGGGTTGCATGGATTGCATGGATTAGATGCTGCAGACTGGTCGGAGGTGAGTCTGAGAGGGTCTCCCAAGTCAAAATTCTTTGGAAAAAACACCATCGAAGGCCTAGAAGACACATTCCCCCCCTTTTAGACCAATTGCCACAAGTTAAGCTTTCCTGAAAATCTAGGAACCACTTCTTCAAGGAAGCTCCCCCTGCCCTCTGGGGGGGAGCTTCCTTTGAAGAAGCGTGAGCTTATTTGCGTCGTAGCTAGGAGCTCCCTATTGCTAGTAGCTAACCTCCTTACTTACCTAATTAAGTAGGCGCGGGCAAGAAAATACATTTTATGCTCTTGCAGTACGCCAAAACGACGTCTTCAACGACCGGTTGGCCTGGCTCTCCCTGAGCTCCTGCCAGGATGCTGGACAACAGCCTTTCACGTACATCTGCGGTGGTGGTGTGATCAAAGGATGGGACATGGGTGCTCGAGGCCTGTGCTGCCTACGGACGTCTCTTTTCCTCGAAAGCTTGTTTCCTCGAAACGTTTGCCTGGAGCTCAACTGGTGAGGCATGAAGAAGGGCGAAGCCAGGGGCCTGCGGATCCCCGCAGGAGAAGGCCACCGGGTTCCCGTGACAAGCACGCCAGATTCACTTTTAGATCACAACCACATAAGACACGTCGTTTTCCTTTTGTCCATCTGCAAACCGTGAGAGTGTGCTACTCATTACACATACACACAGAGACATACAGACTTCATGACCTCATTATTCCCAAGTGTCATTTAGCTTGACAAACTTTCTATGCAGGCTACGGCGGTCGTGGCTTCCCATCTTGGGGGATTCCCCCGAATGCGGATTTGCTCTTTGAGATTGAGGTGGGGCTAAAGGGAAGAAGCTGGGTTTTTTGGATTTCTTGGCGACGAGAGGTCTCAAGTTCGACTTGGAGACGATGCAGGATCGAAGAGAAAAGCACACAAACACATGTTACGTGGATATACGTCGAGTGAACGTGTACAATATCTACATGTACATCGGAAAGCACAAAGAGCCTTTGGACGAGTTACGATTTTGCATTATATATCTAGTGTTGTTATTTTAGTCAGGTAGGCTTATATGGCACCGCCATCATTAGCAGCTGCCATTCGAAACAGCCCTCTCTCAATCCCAACATGAAGACGTGGCACACAGTAATCATGAGCCCCCCAAAAGTGAGAGTATAATAGATTGCTTTCTCGGATCACAGTTGAAGGCTATTGAAATAGAAGCGTGTGAGAAAACTAGCCAGTACCTGGATGCTCAGGTTCTTGCGATCAAGCGCAATGGGCAGCAACTCTGAGAGGAATACCCTCAGCAACGTGCGTTGTTTCGTGCGTTGGGTGCAAGTTCGGAGCCTGTGGCATCCGAACAAGCCCAACTGCATATGTGCTTGAGTTGATATGCTGCACAAGCGCTTGCGCTAGCTTTGGATGTGGCACAACCCTAAACTCCAGCCTCTATTTATTGCCCTCGAAAAGTGGTTTTGCTGTGTACATTTCGCAAACAATTTCGTGAGCAGCCTGTTTGAGTGCAGGTCATGGAGGAGAAAGAGCGGGATCAGTATTTCAAGCAGTTGCTGGACCATCATCCAGTGACTGACCCAGAAAGATGTCAGCTTCATGTCAGCATGGCATGGTCATTTTAGAGCGCTCAATATGCGAGGCGAAGGCGATTCGATGAAGGTGACAGGCTACTGTCATGAAAGTGCACCTGGCCACACTGACTGCAGCCTTTTTGGCTTGGTCTGACCAAAACCATCATGAGCTTTGATTCACGGAGATCTGAACATCTGGGATATATCATCTATGTAAAGAGAGGTCTCGATCTGAGGTTTCCATCAGGGCCAAGAGAGCGAAGCAGACGACCGATGCAACAGATCGACTGCCCGTGAGAACACTCTGCTTTTCCAACGGAATTCTTTAGCAATGACGGTTGGTGAGGGAAGGACCTTGGAAGTGAAGATCTCTGGAATGAATGGCAAGGACCGAGTCCGGAACAAGCAAAATCATGGAATGGATGCCACACAGAGATCTCGTTGTTCGAATTGTTCTCGTTTTGCCCAACCCGAGCTGTTGGGGCGCTCAGAGCTCTTCGGAGCTCGCACTGGGTCAGGAAGTCATTCTGCGGGTGCCAGAGACTCTTCGGGGCTCAGAGCTGGTGGACTTGCTCGGGGCGAAGCTCGCAAGGGATGTGGATCCCGTCCCCAGTGCCCCCCTCATTTTGCTGGTGGGAGAGAGGAGACTGTCCATGTCTCGAACTCTGGGAGACACTTGGCACAATTCGAGTTGAATCTGAGCATGTCGTCGCACATGTAGCCCTAGCTCGGGACAATGACATGCTTGCATCGAGGAACAAGGACTTCATAATCCCTCCAATTTGTCCTATGTGTTTACGAGGGCCAACGCGTGGCTCGGCGGAAAGGCTTCGAGAAGTCGCTTGCCGGTTTGCTCCATGCCTTTGCCATTTCTTTGACCAATTATTGAAGTAGAGGATGTAGAGGCAACGTGGTTGATACATTTGATGTACTGAGCATGTTTCTAGTGTTCCTGCACTCACAACATGCTGCAAGAATGGATGCTACTCTCACTCGAGGTGGAATGCTTGGAAGGTTCTATGCGGCATCGAATGCGAGGAAAGCGACTTTTGCCTTCTGGGGGTCAAGGAAATTCGTTCCTTGGACAAGCTTAAGATTTGCTGTCTTGCATGTTTGCACCTAAGGAATGTTTCTTGGTAGTTGGTAGCTTCACGCATCTTTTCAATTTGCGCATCGGCCAATTGCGTGCCAATTGCGTATCAAAAGTACGTGGAAGTTCGCTCATCATTGCCTCAGTGCGCAAGCAAATCCGGCAGCCAACCTCCCGCAGTCACCTGTATGCTGCGCACAACGCTCACTCTGCGGAGCCCCAAAGGGATGCGACCTCCAAGCAGCGAAAGAACTTGTGATATACGTTCGTAGCTTCTTGCTTCGTTCGCCGATGGCCTCCAACCGAAAAACGCGATGGGCCTCTCCAGCTTCTCTCCTTCGAAATGGAGCGAAATTGAGCAAATGCTCTGGAGAGGCCATCCGCACAGACAAAACAACTGAAGCCGTGCTCGCATTGAAAGGACCGAGCACGGAAGTGGACAATGGCGACAGCCTGTTGTGGGGTACGGGCAGTTCTTCTCCAAACAGAGGAGTTTTCCGTTTTTCCATGTGTTGTCTCTGTGAGAGGAGAAGAACCCTGCAGGTTTTGACCGATATGCTGTCGACATTCTTGAGGAGGTGCGCTTACCAAGCAGCCTAAAGCGTCTTGCTTTCGAAGGTGGATTCAATCAGAGCTTTGAGCGGGTGGAGTTTCCAGAGGGTCCCTTGACTTCAAATTCCGGAGCTGTGGGAAAAGGGTAGTTTTGGTCGAGCCCCGTTGAGGTCCATTCAATGAATTGTTGGAAGATTGTGCCAATATTCTCTGATAGACTTCTTACTGGAAACACGGGGCAAGGCCCGGCAAGGCCCGAACTTCAAGTAAACGTTGTGTGTCCGTTCTGGGTTTTTCTCCACCAGCCGAGCTGGTGGAAATCAGCTACCACCAGGGTCACGCATCCTGGTGCCTCACCGGCCTCACCTTTTCAGGTTTGGAGAGCCTCACCTTTGGAGGCAACTTCAAGCAGAGCCTGGAGCGCGTGAGGTTCCCTGTAAAGCTCCAAGCTTTGACCTTGGGAAATCTCTTCAATCAAAGCCTTGAAGCTCGGAGGAGTGGAGTCCGATTTTTCGGAATCAACAACTTTGATTTAATCGGACTCCACTTAAATAGAACTATTCAAAGAACAATATTCTTCTCGCAACTTCATGGTTCTATTAATTTTCTATTCCTAAATGCCTCCACATCAGTCCGCTGAGGAGCACGTAAATCTTCCAGAAGGGCTGCGGAGCCTCGTGCTGGGCACTAGCTTCAACAAGTCGCTGCAACATGTGAAGCTTCCCAGCAGTCTGGTCTCCCTGTCTTTGGGCGCTTCATTCAATCAAGACTTGCGGATTCTTGGAGTAAAAAGGGATCGACCAAAACAACCCGGCCTCGACCACAAGCACAGGCAAGCTGTGAGTCCTGCAGTGGATGTCTCCAAGATGACTCTTTATACGGCAAATTGCATCATGTGTTGGATCCCATGTGTGCATTCCAAGGGAGGTAGAATTTCCTCGATCACTAAAGACTTTGGTTCTTGGCAGAAATTTTAATCAGAGTGCCTGGGCAGCATCCACATGGGGGTGGGCGATGGCGACGGTCCTCTACTGTATTTTTTCTCTTGCAGATCGGAATCCTATGTGCCATACACGGGATTTCATCACCAATCTCCGAAGGCAACTCTGTTTTCAAACCATGTTTTGCCATCCCTATTCCATGCGACGAGCAATGCCGAGCTCTTCTTGTTTTGGGAGTCGAGCGTCGTGATCCGGTTTTCTGGTACGCAGAACGGGTAAAACAGCATAAGCTGCAGCATCCCCCACTGGACAGCAGGCAATGGCTCATCCTGCATGCTAGAATGGACACCTTTCGGTCACAACCACGGGATTTGCTTTAGATTTGCCTTGCCAAGTCTTGTAATTATTCCACGTCAAACCAGACAGCGGGGAATTGGGGAGTGGAGCAGAGTGCCAATGGAAGCCGTTGGTGGATTGAGGCATGGACGGCGTGAGGTTTCCAATCTCTTTGCAACACCTTGAATTTGGTTCGTGCTTCAATCAGAGCCTGGATCAAACTTTACTTCCCAATTTGCTTTCGCTAACCTTGGGTGATGAATCTCGGTCGCAAGAGTTGCAGCAGTGCTCTGCCGCCCTCAAGGCAGGCATCGCCAAAACATGGATGCGGTCGTTCGTGGCGTCGTTCGGACCTTTGGGATGGTGCACCTTTGGGAGTGGACCTAAACGATGTGCACTGCCTTAAGGAATTCAACCAGAGCCTCGACGGCGTGGTCCTTCCAGAAACACTGGAGTTCTTGATTTTTGGCGCTTGCTTCAACCAGTCCTTGTTGAATGCTGATCTACCTGCATGTCTCAGCAGCTCCTGGCTGTGGATTTGTGGTCCAAGATTCTGTAACTTTTTACATTCAACAGCAGAGACTGGAGCAAGTAAACGCATTTGAGGCTTGAAGCTTGGCAAGAATTTCAACCAGTGCCTAGAAGGAGTCAAGTTTCCTAGCCACTTGGCACAGAAACAGTTCCCGAGCTCTATATAGGTGTGTGTGTGTGTGTGTTAAAGACTTAAAGTACGGAGATTCGACAAAGAACTCTCAGAGTCCTTAGCAAAGGAACAATGGACTCAAGCCCATTGGTTGAGGGTCTCTTCAGAAACACACTTTTAAGAGTTACTCAGCAACCAAAGGGCCACAGTTAATTACATGTGGATTCCAAGTCTATGCATGCAAGTGCTGATCAACCTGGTAGACGTAGACTCCAAAAAGGCAGATTTGACAACGGAGACCCGGTCGTCAAAGTCTTGTGTCTCAGGAAAACTTCAGAGCATAATTTTTGGTCAGCGCTTTGACCAAACCTTGGAAGCATCCTTTCCTGCAGAGTTGCAGAGCTTGACCTTCGGCGAGGCTGGGCAACTGAGAACCAAGAGAAGCCTTTCAACGGAACTGAACACAAGGACTGTGTGTTGCAAACGGTGGCTTCCATCCTTGTAGGACTTCAATCAAAGCATAGAGTCCGTTCGTTTGCCTGAAAAGCTTCAAAGACTATGCTTCGGGAGATCTTTCAATCAAAGTCTGGAGAAGGTAGCACTTCCAAGCCTTCAGCATTTGGTATTTGGTTGGAGCTCCTTAGAGAGAATACACATGAACAAACAACTTTTGCTTTGTATAACAGATTTCAACATATTTCAACCCCGTTTTTGCCCACAACCTATGTAGTGGCTTCTCCGAGGTTTTAACCACTGCTTGGATGGCGTGCATTTGCCCAATCTGCGCACTTTGACCTTCGGATCAAATTTCAATCAACCTCTACTGGCGGTGACATTTCCAAAGCTTCAGACATTGACGTTTGGGGAGAACTTCAATCAGAGCTTGAAAGACACGAGTTTTCCATCCACGCTCCGACAACTGACCTTCGGGTATCGTTTTGATCAACCATTGGATGTGGATCTTCCGAAGGGACTTCGGTCTTTAAAATTTGGAAGCTTGTTCAATCACAGTCTGGAGCATGTGCAACTTCCCTGCCTCGAAAGTCTGACGTTCGGCTTTTGCTTCAACCAGAGCTCCCTGGCCGAATTGGTGAGGAGCCTTCGGCCGTGGCATTCTTGAAGTCTGTTTTGATATGATTTGAATGAACACTCGACCCTTTGGGCAAGCCCTCTACACAGGCTTTTAACAGAGGATCCTGTTCCGGTGGGGCCTCAAAGCCTACGGACCAAAAAGCTGCTCAAAAAAGACCTCACAGCCTCTGCTCAAAACAAATTCCGGACCCAGGCCCACAAAACCCAAGCAGCGAATGGAAGAACTTCGTCTGACGATGGCGCAAGCCAAGGGAGAATGTTTGAAACTTTAAGAGTCGAAAGGGCAGGGCTGAAGAAGTTCTGAAACTGCAGGAATTTTGGAGTTGTGCCAAAGATTGTTTGTAGATGGAGATTCTTTTGAGATTTGCGTTGAGCTTCCGAAGTTTTGTGAGCCTTTGAAGCTTTACAGGTTGCACTGGATCCCCATGAATGAATTCCAACAACTCCACCGCCCAGGCTTAGAAAAAACACGATTGCCCGACAGCATCCGATCTTTGACGTTTGGCTGGCACTTCAACCAGAACCTGCAACGCGTTCAGATGCACCTCGCCGGTGGAAAGGAATAAGCACCAGTCATTCGAAGGGTTGCAGATAGCACGAGGGCCGGGTTCAACACCTTGAAGCTGCACCAGGTTGTCCTTTTCCCTATTCTGTCGTTCCTTTGTCAAAAGTATGTGCCGTGCAAGCTAGATGACCACCTGATCCAAGCTACTGCAAAAGCAACAGTGCACCCTTGCCCCGCCACACAACACACATGACTGGGAGGAACAGAATGGAACAGAGGCATTTTTGGCAAAACCCCAAAACGGTGGGCGCACGTCCCGTTGGTGAACGAGTAACTGTCGCCACCAGTTGTCGCTCGCTCAGTTCACTTGGTTTCAAGGCCTGCTCGCTTGGAGAGTCTGACCTTTGAGGGGAAATTCAATCGCAGCCTGGTTGGCGTGGATTTTCCACAGCATTTGGCCTCTCTGACCTTTGGAGAAAAGTTCAATCAAAGCACCTTGGATTTTTGTCATTTGATTACACTACACTGACAAACTCACTAACATGGTTGTGGAACCCCCCCTGTTTGTAGAGCCAAGTCGTTTTCCCGAGGCCTATTCTCCACTTCCATGTTTGTGGGTCAAAGTGTATGTATATTATATAATGTTCTATTTGAACAATCAATATCTATATAATCACTTCCAAAAACAACAGATCAAAAACATAAGCACACGGCGATGAGCAATCCAAATATGAATTGAAATTTGGAACAAGTCAAAGGATTGTGAAGATGTTCATGTCACTGAGGTTTGGAGTGTGTGAAGCTTCCGAAGAACTTGAGGACCCTAACCTTCGGAGATGATTTTGATCAAGCTCTTCAACATGTAGCCTTTCCAGACAGTCTGGAAGAACTCACCTTTGGCGAGAGCTTTCATCAAAGCTGGGAGGAGGTTGCTTTGCCTGCCAGCTTAAAGTCCTTGAAGTTTGGCAAACGATTTATTCCAAAGTTGGAAGCTGCAAAGCTTCCGGAAAACCTGGAGTGCTTGATCTTTGCATCCTCGGGTCATGCTTTTGATCAGAGCTTGCGGCATGCGAGTCTGCCCAGCCACATTCAGCGATTGCAGACTGGGAGCATTTTGGTGAGTGCCTAGGACAAAGGATTTCCTGGCCTTTCGTTTCCGTTTTCTTCAGCTGCAAGAGGCTGAACTTATCGTTCGCAGCTTGTGCAATAGATTTGGTTGCCGAGGGCATGAAGAGGCTACATTGCTACATTTGGCATATTTTTAGATTTTTTTCCTGAGTATATAGCGGCTTTTAAACACCATGAGCAAAGGAAGCAGGTTCTAGTGCCAAGGAACCACATGTGTGCTTCATGCCCTACAACTGCAAGGATTCGAATCATTTGGCTCGCCCAAGCTGCAGCGTGCCAATGTGCACTGTTTCCCTGGACGCCAGTAGCTTGAACCATCGCTCAATCTGTGCTGGGCACCAGGAGTACTTTTGAACACATCCCGAGGGCTGGCTGAAGTCCAAGCCGCCGTGGGGTTGACACTCTTGCCCGTTGAATATGTCTCAAAAAGAAGCGCTGGTGCAAGAAGGGGATAGGTCACCTTTTGTCTTTGAGAAGATTACCTTGGGGGGCGATTTTCAGCGTGTTCGGCTGGGGTCTAGAGCACTTTCATGCACAAACACATGAATGTTGGACGACGGTGCTCATGCTCAAGCTATGAACTTTTGCCCTTGACACCGCCAAGGAGATTGACACCACAAAAGGACCATTGGCAGGGCTTTTGGTCCTCTACAAAATGAGCCGGGAGCCCTTGCAGGGTTTTTCGGCATGTTCAGGGTGTTGGAGTGTCAAGAATCAAGCGAAATGCTGAAATTCAATCGACTCGCAGTTGGGCTTGTGGAATGTTTAGCTGCTAGGAACACGAGGACGCTACTAGGAACAAAGGGCATCGCTACTAGGAGCAAGGACGCTACTAGTAGCTCCTGGCCATGCTACTAGGAACAAGAAGCTTAGTCCCTCCATTTCTGAGCACGTCCAAATCTGCAGAGCATGACGCTGAGGAGAGTCGCGCCTGAAGCAGCATGCGCGCAAAGTCATTGAGATGCCTGTCTTGGCTTCTAGCATCTGGGACAGACAAGGGCTTCTGTAACCATGGCGACACGTATAGGCACGTAAACATTCAGTCACACATTTGTATGCATGTGTATGTTTCATTTTTGTGTATCAATACATACTCTTTGTACGTATATCATTTGTGTTGCAGTCACAAACAACAATGTTTGTGAATGAATGTTTCCCAATCAAGACAGAGAACATCTTTAAGTCGTTCTCAAAAAATGGCGGAGCAGAAAGCAATGCATGCATGCACGGGAGCGCCTCAAGTTACAGAGAAAGCACTTAGAGTCAAACTAGTGGTTGTAGGGTGTCTAACACTATGGCTTGTTCGTACTTTGCGTGTGCTCCCCTTTTTCCTGCTTGGGCCTACCGGGTGAAGGTTACAAGATGAGTGCATCAATGAACACATTTGGGAACATGAGTCACTGTGAGTCTCGGGAACTCAACCAGTCTGGCAAGCAGCAAAAAGCCTCAGTCTCAAGAAGCTTCGGTGGGCTCTAAGACCCGAATGTTGGGGAGACAATCCCTGAATCAGACGCGACAATGAGGTGAGAAGTTCCAAGGCTGGAGCTTGCTGGCGGATCCAGCTGAGAATATAAAAGATCAAACAGTTTCGAGACCCTTTACTGAAAATGAATGCATACTCTTGCAAGGCTATCATGTTGACACTTGTTCGAATAGCCTTTCAATCACATCAGACCGGCTTTTGTAATCAGGGAGATATACACTTGAACTTCACTTGTTTCCCACTGCCCTTGAAAGAATATCGTATTCTTTTGGATGTCCCTCTCTCCTTTGCATTTTTCGATTCAGGCTACCACGATGGCATCAGAGCCTGCGATCTTGTCGAGGTGCCTCGAAAGTCGCTTCGCTTTTCTGGGTCGGACTGTCACCCGCTGGTCTCAGCGTTGCAGAAATCTGATCAGACTTGGACAGAGAGGAGGGTCTAAAATCTACACTTTGCAAGAAGCTCCTCTAAGCGCGAACATGTAGAGCATCGTGAGTCCTTGGGAGTAGATGCTTTGGCGTCAACTTGCTTTCAGGAGCTGGGCCATCATGCTGGATTAAGCAGCGCCCAGGTCTGCAGATCTCGTTCTTGCTTTGCACACGTGCCTTTGAAGACGGTTTTTGGATGGTTTCAGTTTCAATGGCTAGACAACTGCAGGATGAGTATTTTCTGGCTTAGTTGCACACCTGGATTTCAGATGAGAATGGTGGGAGTGAGGAGCGACTACTCAGAGGTCTTTCGGACTCATAGCTGTGGTGCTTCGACGAAGCCTGGGCTTACACCGTTTGGGGCCATGCAACTGCTAGGCAATCCGGGAGACCATAAAGGAGTTCCCGCACTTGGACAAGCGAGGACATGGATCATGCCTGTGAGTGCTTGCAGATGTGAAGTTGCTGAAGTAGACGATAAGTATCCATTTTGTTTCTGGATCCAAGAGAGGCAAGATAATTAGATCTAGGATGTATTCGTCAGTATCTTCTGTGATGCACTCAAAACCATGTCGCATAGGAGTCGCTGAGATCATAGCAGTCGTGGCCCCAGTGGTTCAGCTACCAACTTTGGGTCTCAGATGTCTCGCATTGCAACCAAAGGCTTTGCATGGGCTGGACGCATGGCCCCAACATCAGATACAAACACTCAGATTGGGGGTCTTTGTGAAACAGTTCTGCTTCCAATCATTGAAGGGTAGAAGCACGGCAGCTGCGATCGGCTGGCTTTACTGGAAGCTGATCTTCTTCCTGTGCGCCACAGCAACCTTTTTCCATCGCTCTTTTGCTTCAACCAAGGTTGCTTTGCATTTCTCGTTGGACCCAAAGGTGGACACCAACGCGATGTCAGATTCTCAGTGTCAACGGATCATAGCGCCAAGACCTACCAGTTGGCACCATGCAATTGGGAGGAACTTGCAAGACATTGGGAGTGTGGATGAATGTGGGAGATTGGTTCAACGTGTTTGAGGGTTTCCATGACCTTCGCTGTTGGCAAGCTGCTTCGCTATGCCGCACTTTGGGACTTCGCGCTACGTCGCGCTACGTCGCAGGTTTGTCAGAACGAGGACTGACCAATGTGACCAATGTGAAGATGCACAAGCTAATTTTTAGGATTTAAAGGGTGTCAAGCATGACTTCTATGGATATTCTGCTTGTTTTCTGGAGTTTTGCTGAGGCTGGTGGCTCATTTGGCCACTGCCACGGCGCGCTCCAGTAGAGAGGTGCTTTCGTGCAAGTTTGCGATTGGTTTCCAGGTCATATGGGGTGACTTCATAGGTTGTGCCGAGCCAGTTCTACATGTCCGATTTGTGCCGAAGCAAGAGAGATGCCACAACACACCTGATGGGCCTGACATGTTTATGCGAAGGGACATGATCTCTTCACAGATGATACTTATAGTTGAACTTAGTTGTTACGATATATAAAGCATCACGCATTCAATGTGAAGCGAAGACCTCCGAAAGATGCCAACAGCCCTTCTACGAACCTTCCAAACATCCTGGTTGACTCAAATCCAAGCTGTACAGTGTACAGCCTAGGCCGTGTTGGTGTAGAGCATCTTAAGTCCAGCACTTGTCAGGGCGCCAACCATTGGAATAGCCAGGGCCCTTGACAGTACTGCATGCTGCAGGCAATTTGAATGTGGTGTTGCACATCCTTGCTATGGGCAATCCTAGAATTTTTGGAGTCTGAAACATAGCAAGCAGGCGAAACATAGCAAGGCACTGGCAGAACATTTGACAGACCTTGGGGTGCATCGAACTCAATGAGGTCAGGAGACAACGAACCAGATCTGGCAGATGTCTCAGCTTCCTCCATTTCACAAGAGCGTACGAACATGCCACAAGTAGTATCAAGTAGCTAGCTGCTGAATGGTCTTAGATTTGGAGACACATTTGCAATGGGGCTGGGGCTTTTTCATCGGATCTTTTATCTTTTGTAAAGTTCTCAACAGCAGCGTTGAGAGGCATGACCGACCTCAGAATCTGCCTCCAGAGGCCTCGTGATTGTGTGAATCTGGGACCCGAAGTTATATCTAGCGACATTTGTAAGACCAGACTTTTGTTGGGAACTATTGGGAACCTGATTTTGGCGCTTTTCAGTAGCCCGAACCTAGTAAGATTGCCAAACCCACCACTCACAAGCACTTTGCCTTCCTCGTTGTTTATCTGCGACCTTTTGCAGGCTCTCTCGGTGGAGGTGATTATCGATGTCATCAATTCCAGTGTTGGGCGCATGAAGAAGGAGGGCTGGGAGGAGGCCTCACCGATGCGAAGGTGAAGTTTTCTGCGGGCGAGGTGAACAGCGCCTTCTCAACGGCTTCTCAACGGCCTTGAGTCAGTGTCAACAGTTTCTCGGAACTGCAAAAGGCTTGTGTCTCGCGGTGCTTTCATTCTTGCTCAAGTCGCTTTGCTTGTCCTGAAATTTGCAATGGGATGACACTTCCATATTGGCACGCTGGTAGGGTGAGTGGGATTTGAGACACCTGTCTCATCCTGTGCTTTCAACACAGGTGTTCAACTTGATGTTCGACCTCCCTGAACTGCGCTTGCCAACGAAGAAGGCCGCGGAGGCGCTGTAGGGAGGAGGAAGAAGCCCCAGGGAGGAAGGGCAGAAGCCGTGGTAGTTTCCAAAGGTCACTCACCAGATGGGAAAGGGCTCAGTTTCCCTGTCCTGGGATTTTATGGACTAGTGACTAGTGACTAGGTAAGGAATCATTCGGCAACAAAAGAGAGCAGTCGAATGGCCACAAGAGAGCAGCAGGTTACGCAGGACTGGTCTGGATACGACGGGACCGAGTGCCGCCTGCCATTTTTTGGAACGACTGCAGCATTCGGAGCGGTTGATGCCAAATAGAAGGGACCTGTGGCATTGAGAGTTGCCTCTGAGCCTCTCAGAGCAACTGTGTGAAGCCTAGCCTTCAAACGACTCATTGCATCCAGAGATGAGAAAGCTTTCAGGCCTTGCTTTCGGCCTTCAAGCATGCAAGACCGGGAGTGAGGGCCTTAAAGTCACTGAATAGAGCCGATCGCGGACCTTGCGTGACACGGTTGTCGTCCAAACATCCAAAGCAAAGGGGTAAGACGCCATCAATGCCATGGTCTTTTGCGATCCAAAGAGGTGCGCCACGCCACTCCCTTTCGCCCAGGTGGATTTTCCTTTGGAATCGGTGCTGCGAATTCGCAGGAGCGCACATGGCTTGAGCCACAGCAGTGGAGGGGGTCCACAAATTAGATTGTGAAGCTTGAGGTTCCGAATTCCAATTTGTTGGGAGGCCTGAGGGAGTAGTGAATATTGGGAAGCATGGTAGGTGCGGTTCAGGCAGTTCAGCAGCGGACAGAAGTACATGACCATCTACTTCATACATGTCTAGAGCATAAAGTGGATGTATTGTGAGATGTTTCTCTTTCGTGTGTGCTTTGATGACTCTTGTAGGAACACCACTGCGCAGCTGCAGTTCATCCGCCATGCAGTTCATTCCTCAGCGACGGTGATCACCCTCGATGCTCGCAGCGCGCGCGATGGCGGCGGCCACACGCGGCGGCGAGGTGATGGGACTCAGCACGCCGCTGAATTGGTCCGAGCACAAGCCGTGTGACACCTGGAGTCTGCCGTTCTGCCGGTTTTGGAACGGGGTGGACACACAGGATTTGCAGGACTTGGCCACACGTTCATTACTTATTAATGCTGGACGACATCATACTTTCTGCTCCCAAAGGCAATTGTGAAGACAGCCCGAGGTTACCGCCAATCACAGGTCTTCCAGGTGGAGAGGCAAGACCGTTTGGGATCAGTGCTTGGCAGTCAACTGTAGACTCCAGACCGAACATGTGCTTGATGAGTCTCAGTCTCAATGGTTCTGAAGCAAAATTCCACTCCACCGTTTATTGCAACGCCAAGTCCAGCGTCAGTACATGTGCATAGCGTGCCCAGGTGACTGCTGTACTGTCAACATTTTCAGCTTTAGCAGACATTTTGTGGAGTGGCCTGATGTTGGATGTACAGACCCTTGTTGGATGTATAGACCTTGGTTTCCTTCCAATTCTATTCAACTATATATATCTCTTTGATTTGCTGCCGGTCTCGGTAAACCTCTTGTGCTGCTTGCTGTCTGCAGGGGTCCGCTAATACCGCGGGGCCTGGCAACTGTCAGAGCTCCAAGTCGTCGGTGAAGCTTGGGCTGTCCCAGCTTGGACGGTGGCGGCTGCGGATTCGCCCCGCGTGACTCTGCGCGTTTGCGCGGAGCATGTTTGCACAATGGAACAGTGCTTCCTTGTGACTCTGCTGTAGTAACTGTAGTAAGGGCTACATATCACGAAAGCCAGCCGATAGGCTAGGCTGGAGTCGTCGATGGGCGAACGAAGTGAGTATTAGGGGGTGCCAGAGCCTGGTGGGGGAGAGCGAAAAAAAAGGCAGGCTGTGGTGATGCAAGTGATGTAATCGACTGATAGTGCATCATTAGCATCATGAGGGGTTTAGAAGGCAATGTAAACGTCTTCTACCAGGGGTTGGATTTCATGTCGATGATAGGCAAGGGGGACAACGGGCCAGAAAAGTGGTTGGAGATGTGCGTCTCTGCTGGGCATTGAAATAGTGTTGTCTCTTAAGACACTGTTGTCTTGTGGAAATGATGTGATGTGTGATGGCAGGAGAGGGAGTAGAATGCTGTGGGGAAGGGATTGATGTGATCCGTTGAGAACAAAAAAACAGAAAGCAGCATAGTGGCATAGTAGCCAGGCGCAAAAGAGCACCCCATATGGGGTGGGAGTTCATGTGGATGATAGGCATGGCGGGGGAGGATGTGATAGGAACGGAGGCGGGGAGCTCACCAGGGAAGCGAGAAGTGCGTTGCCCAGCAGCAAGGGAGATGTGTGCTCCAGAGGCCACTTAAGCGGTCTGGTAGCTGGGGTGGGAGTGTAGGAATTCGACAGGGAACGCCGGGATGTGAAAAGTGGTTGGAAGTCCTCCGGACAAGGGAGATGCGCGTCGTCCAACACTCTGCTTTCTTGTGGCTAATACGAATCCTTCTTGTGGCTGTCGCCTTCAATAGGGAACAGAATGCTGTGGGCTAGCTTTGAGCTGCTTGGGGGTGCCCTTTCTCTATGGTGAAGAGGCCTGTTGACTAGAAGCAAAAGGGCACCCCATATGGGGTGGATGTTCATGCGGAAGACATACATAGCGGAGGAGAACGTGGTTGGCAAAGAGTGATTTCGAGAAATCTCTGAGTTTCTTGGGGGTGCTCCTTTTTATGGTGAAGAAGCCAGTTAACCATACGCAAAAGGGCACCCCATATGGGGCGCAAGTTCATGTGGAAGATAGGCATAGCGGGGGGTTCACTCCTATATCTTCTGCTTACTATTGCCCGATCACAGGCCGCTCTTTGCCCGATGTGACACGCTCACTTGATCTTGGCTCTAACTGACGTCGAGGTGCCCCTTTCTCTCTTCCAAACGCCCCTTCGTCCACAAGAACAAAAGCACCTCGCCCCCACCAACTGTGACTGAAGGCCTATCATGTTGACCCCGCCTTATGCCTCCCAAAGCTTCCTGCGCTCTCGCATTCACCCCCGCTGACTAATTCATATCTCCTTACGGAGGCTGGCTTTCGTCCCCTTCCTTCTCAGGATATATACGCACACACTGCAATTACTTGAGTGAAGTACTCTCTAGGGCAATCAAACGTTCTCACAGTCTCCGGCCGAAGACCAAAGATTGGCCTAGGTTGGACTTGCTTAAAGCTCTTAGAGGCATCGGCACCTTTTGAGCTTGTACACCAGTTCATGCGTCATGAGGACGACCTATGTTCAAGCTGCAGTTGCTCGCCTAGCCCTAGCCCTTCGTCGCTCGCCGCTGCCAGGTCCTTTTTGAACTGGCCGAGGTGGAGGATTACAATGCCCGGAGACTCGGAGACTTCAAGCAGCGAAGAGATGGGCCTGATGGGTAGCACAAAAGATCAACCACCTTAGAGAACACCTTAGAGACACGACGATTGAAACAACACCACTCAGCTGGGACCAAGTCTTGCTGCTTCTTGAATTCAGCCACTTCACGAAGGCCTCGCCCCAACGAGAAATCATTGCTTTAGGTTGTCCGCAAGCTGTTCGAGATGGCCTGGCGGCTTGGAGTCTTCAAGCAAACAATCAATTGTGCGAGTGAACCTCTTTCGACATACCGCATATCACAAAATGTTTCCGCCAGGGACATGGCTTGAGACCTCATGCAGTGCTGGTCGCTTGCTGTCTTGCAGAGGAGTGGCCGAGCCTGTACAAAATACAGACCACCAGCACACTGCTTCATCACCCCCAAGGCATCAACTTCCAAAAGCAAATGTCCAGCAAGCCTCCATGATACCTCGCCCTTGGTGCAGGATCGCTCGCGGGGGACGATGCGTGCAGATATTCTGGAGAAGTTGGCCGGTGCTCCAAGCAGACCTGGAACCCGTGTCTCACGTTCTTGACATCCTCAAATGACTCTGCACGTGATCAGAACCAACCATCTCAGCGCATGGCAGTGTCATGTGTAGGTGCACCACCCCAATGTCAGTACAGAATCTTAGATGTAAGCATATGTCAGCCGGAATCATCCAGAATCTCAGATTCGGCCTTGTCAGAATCAGATGTGTGCGGGAAGGCGCCATTTTCACGTGTACCAAACCAACACTTCTTCCGCTGCAGCCAACTGGCATAGAGCTTTGACTGATAGTTTCTGCTGTACAAGCACAGGCTCACCGAAAAGATGCTCAGATGCTGGGAGAGCAAAGCGCCTGGTCGACCGCTTTGCTTTAAGCTAAAAGCCACGAGGTTGTGCAGTGTGTAGCAGACACAAAGGTTTGTTGGGGAATGACTTCAAGGAATTAATCACAAGAAACATGCTTGAGGCCATTCATCAAGGTGCATGCAACAACTCTGTAGCTTTAAAGTCCAGACATTCTGCCTTCGTCCTTTGGCCATGGGGTGGCACTAACCTGGTGCTAAGACGCATGCTGTCACCTCCGGCATTTGGGCACCGTGGATGGTGCCCCCACGACATCCATTCACCATCCCTGGTCACGGCGGTGCCATCGGTCTCCTTGCCACGTCGAGTCGAAGGCCACTGAAGCCACCGCTTTCGGTTAGGCCGTTGTTCACGTGACTCCGCATTCGGGGAGACTCGGATAGGTGATTCTTCCTTGCAAACTTGGACACCTGCTTTTTCTGAACCGGAAGAATTGATTCGCCATTTGGAGCTGTCAGGTCGCACGCGGAGCTACACAGCCTCGCTTGTTATTGGTTCTTTGGTGTCATGCGTTACGGACCTTCAGCAGAAGAAACGGAAGAGGTCCAGAAGATTCATTCAGCTTAGAGCGACCAGTGCAGTCGAGGTTTTCGCACGTGCTTGGTAGCTTGGAGATACTGTGGAGCATTTTTCCTTTCTCCTGTGGAAGCAGTTCTATAGTCCAAAGCCAGTTCGGCGTGTCTGTCGAATGTTCGGGTGTGTTTCCATACTTGGACTCCCTCGATTCTTCAAAGTCTCTGAGCTCGAGGGTTGTTCAACGATTAAAACATTGTCTCCTATCAGAGCTGATTCCCTCCACTGAGATTGAGATGTTGGAGTATGTAAAATTTCAGGGACTATGAATGTTGCATTTTAATTTGGGCTGTTGTCCCTACTTTTGCGTCATGAATGCACGGTTTGACGTCAATGTCAGGTATCCCCTCGGTTTTACTGCGGTCACAGACCGCGGGAAGCCACACCACTTGCGTGTTTGCAATGTGCCTGTGGTCTTTTGGCATGACGGAGATGCGTGGCGCGCTGCGATTGATGAATGCCCACATCGACGGGTCAGGCTGTCAGAGGGACGACTCGAAGGATCAGAGCAACTTGGCGTCCAAGACCTACTCTCATACTACTGGTGCTCTTGATACAATGAAAATATGTATGTATACACATACAAACAATAAGGGGGCAGTACAGTCGGCCTAAGGCAAGCATAGCAAAATGGGACGATATATATATATATATATTGTCATTGTGTTTGTCGATCCATTTGCTCCAGTAGCTGGCTAGCTTGGGCAACTGCGTTGACTGTCCATAGGCCAGCTTGTGGGTGGAATATCAGCGTGTTTGCAACGGAGCAAAGCTGGTAATAGATCAGACAGTTTTCCACGGCTTTATCGATTCTCTCCAATGGCAAGTTTTCTGACGACACAGGTTGCAGTGCCCCTATCATGGCTGGACGTTCAATGGTCAAGGCCTTGTGGACGGGACGTGGGGTGCATACGTCACAAAATGAGAAACCAAAATATATATAGAGACAGGATCAGGATTTTGACAGTGATTTGACAAAGGTCTGATGTGAACTGGATGTAGGCGGCTTTTGCACACCTTTGCTGTCAGCCATACACCGAAGCCCACAGAAAATGAAGAGCGAAAGGACTGACAAGAGAGGAAGAGTGATGAGGAGGTAGTCCCTCCCCGTTTCTCCTCGATCCAGGCCAATGCACAAGAATCCCTCAAGCCGACGAATCATCGCAGAAAGCCCGACTATCTCCACGTGCTTGCCTATCCATGTTGCCTACAGAGGAAAGGACGGATTGTGAGAAGGTGATTGTAAACAAGTTCTCGTTTTTTCTGCAATGTTAATTTAAGTTTTCTTGAGTATTTTGTTGCACAATGTTTCAACACATCTACAACAGCCAACAGAGATACAGCCAACAGACATCAGACATGTGGTCTGGCGCGGAGCTTCGGCCGTTTTGCACGAGGAACGGTCTTTTGTTCCTTTGGGCAGCGGGGCTATACGGAGATCCGGAACCACCAGATCATCAAGCGCTGGATGAGCTGATACACCAGGAGGAAGGGGAACTGCAGTAGTTTTGTTTTTTGAACAATGGACTAATGGACTAATGGGAACCTTCAAAGACTAAGAACCTTTTTGTTGGCCTTGTATTTTAGAATTGTCACGTGACGAGCCACGTGGACAATGGACACATCACTTTGGCAGGACATCTTCGCAATACCTGGTGTGCAGTATGTGGACTATTCAAGAGATTTGTTTATGGACATGCCCATTCTTCTTGAGCCGCTTTGACTTTCTGATCACATGCAAACTGGATGGGGTCAAAAGAATATTAAACGCAAACAGGGTCTGCTGTTTGAAACAACGAATTGGTACAATACTGACAAGGGAATGGCAACCCTCATGAACTGCAGTTTAGGCCTACAACTTCTCTTTGAGTCAACCAATATATATATATATACAGTACAGACTAGTGCAGACATGCATGTCAAGAAACCCACCAAACAAGCACCTTCCATGAGGAATGTGCTTGATCCTGCACACCTGCCATTCACACATCATGCCACAATCAGCACCCTGGCTCCATTTTTGAGACTCTTTTCTTTTTTTTGCCTGATAGATTCGACACTTTGTTGATGCTGCCAACCACATCTCAGCCTTGCCCCAAGCTTAGGCAGCAGGAAACAGGCTGCAGAAATCCCTATCCAGATCACTTCCAGAGATCCAGGAGGTTTTACAGGCGAACTTGTCGACTTCACTGTTTGATTGAAGTTGAGAGCTTTCCAGTTGAGGATGTTGATCCGTGTCTGACCTTGGGGACCAGGACCGCCCCTTTTCGCAGTGAACCGCAGGTCGCAGAGATAAACCTCAGCTCCAAGCGTCTGGGGTGGTGTCCTACAAGGCTCCCAATCACGTTTGGTCTTTGACAGATCGCAAGGACTCATATCGTAGCTTGGCGGAGCCGATCAAATCACAATCGAATCCGCACAGCGTGTATCATGCGAACCCAGTCCACAGTCCACTGCAAAGTTTTTCCCAGGAAAGTGGCGAACCCATATTGTAAGATCTAGTACCAGAGCTGCTGAAACTTGCTTAGCTTAGGTGACTGGAACATCGTCTATGCTGCCCCAATTTGCCCTGGTCGTAGCCGGATCTTTGTGCGTGTGGTCTTTGAAGTGCCGAAAGTCCCCATGCCTTTGCGACAGATCTTCCAAGTGGTATTCTCTCCTTCCTTGCCGCCCTGGGTCACCCACTTGTTGAACCACAACGTCCTTGAAGATGACAATGTCTTTTTACACTACCAAGGTGAAACGATGGCGCCTGATGGCAAGCAGGAAAGCCGGCGAAAGTTCTGGCGATGTTCATTTGCAAGCAGTTTGAGGGATTTCGACATCATGAAAGATGATAGAACAGAAGCTGACCATCTATCGAAGCCATTGCCGGCTCGTGCGAGAACCGCCCCATGCTAAGTCAAGAAACTATGTCAACTAGCTGCCGCAAAGTCTCTACAAAAGTTGTTGCAAAGTCTTGTTCTGACTAGTTGCTACTGTAAGTATAGTATATAGGGGTCTCTTGTGGTGCTGACCTCCTCGCCGTTTCGAAGTGGATCCTCCCCCCCTGAGGATGCGAAGTGGCAAGAGCGCTTCTACACGCCTACCAGCTCAGATGCTGCAGTACTCTGCTACCATCGGTGGCTTCAAGATGTGGGTGGAGGGGTGCATTGGGCCCGGGATCCCTCAACGTCAATCAAGAGGAAGGGGAGAGAGGAGCTGCTTGAACGTCTTCACTCGTGACTTGGATTGAAAAGACTTGGAAATTGACACATCATTCACGACTTTGGTCTCTGCAAAATGAGTTTGACGATGGCTGAAAGAAACGTGGGAAGTCTGTGTTGCCTTTAGATACAGTAGATACAATCGCATTGGACATAATACCTGGCACACTTTGTTGATAGTGTTGCACACGCTTGTTGGTTCTCGGACAAGTTGGCACTTCCTCGTCTTTGTTGGTGCTAGTCAGAGTCGATCCATCCACGAGTGAACATGGCCCCCTGCAACGGATCCAATCACCTTCATGAAGGGCATGTTATTGGGAATCTATTGGTGCGACCGACTCTCACAGAGAGGAGTCCTGCAGGCTTTTTCCGCCCAGGCACACGGATCATTGTTGGAGCTGCTCAGAGGCATTGGCCCTGTCACAAATGCTTCAGAGCTGGGGTCGACCTTTGCTGCTTTTGGCGTCGCTTGATCCAATCAGCAAAGTTTACACGTTTTTGAAGGCCGTGACCTTCAGGACACACACACACACACGCAGATATACATATATATTATATTATATTAAATTATATTAAATTATATTTTATTATATATTATATTATATTACATTATATTATATTATATATTATATATTATATATTATATATTATATATTATATTACATTATATTATATTATAGTATATTACACATATTGTATATGTTATATTATATATTATATTTATACATGTTGAGGGTGACTGCTTTGGCCACATCCAACCAGTAGTTTGAATCAATTAGGGGAGATAGAATTTGTTACACAAGAAACTGTGAATGTTTTCAATCCACATGTGCATTTTTTGATCCCATGTTCCATTCTCCAGACTTCTAACCACTGTGCTCTTGGACGATTTTCAATGGCCCTTGGCGATGCTATCCATTGCTGTCGCTGCCGTTGTGGCCTGTGCTGCAGCCCTGGAGAAGCAGCTTACCGTAGGCGACTTGGCGGCATTTTGTTGGATTAGATGAAGACATTCCGGAGACCTGTGTATGATTGTGTTATTTTTACTGTCTCTCCTATTCTGAAGACTGTGTCTTGTCTCATATATTTAGCTACAGCATTATCACTTTTGAAGCAACCCAGAGACTAAGCGATAGTTCGGGCCACGAAGCTCACCCGGCACGTAGCTCCACCCCAGTAGCGATGGCCTCCAACCTAGTAGCTTCTTGTTGCTAGTAGTAATAGCCTCCACCCTTCTTGTTAAGCTTGACTTCTTCAGGCGAATATCCACCACCTCGAAATCGCTAAGTTGGAGTCGCGAAGGACCTTTGTTTGCGTGGCTGGAGGACCGTCTGCCAAGTCTAGTCAACGTTTCACTGACTTGACCTGAGCTATTTATCTTGATTTGTTTTACTTGTTTTGCTTGATTCAGGTGAAGATGACACAACAGCTATTGGCAATTTCGCGCCTCCAAAGTTTCTTAGATCACCTCAAAGCTAGGTGAGTCTGTTCTCGTATTGATGACAATCTATCAAAGGCGGCTCAAAGCCAAGCCGTCCACTGGAGCTTGTTGGCTGGTTGCCAAAAGAATTTGTGGACAGACAGGTACTCGTCCTTTCGGGGGAGAGTAATGATATGAAGAAAGAACAACAGCACGGAAAAAACTGCTATAAGGTTGGAGGCCATCGCTCTTAGGTGGAGGCCATCGCTATTAGGTTGGAGGCTATTAGAACAAAAGCAAGCACAAACCGTAACCATGAGCTCCGAGGCTCCACCTCTTTTCGAAGTTGGAGGAGGCCAGGCAACCCCCCGTGTTATGTAGCCGCCAAAGAGATGTGGAGCCTTCGCACCACTTCGGTTCGTTTTGTTTTAGATGCTTCACATGGTGTTTGGGAATTAAAAACGAGCTTAGAGCTTTCAGTATTCTCGTGGTATCTTCGATTTTGTGTTTGGACCACATTGGATTCACATCACTAGGCTTTCAGGGCTGAGTCCGCAGCCGCATCGGAGGCCCTAACGCCTTGCTGGCAACTGTCGCGCTGGCGAAGCGCGCGCCACAAGCACTCAAGAAGCCGGGGGGCCTGTCGATAAGTATCTGGGATGTCCTAAAAGCACGGTGACCTCCCACAGCCACAGGAAAAACCAAGAGCGACACTCGTTGGGGTCCACTCATTTTGAGAAGTTGATTCTCCTGGCGCACAAAGACGTAGACACCAAAGTGGATGCTAACCTGAAGCCATAGTTCTGCTCCCTGGACACGAGGCGTTTTCGTGGAACATGAATACTTGCAATTGTAAGTAGTTCGACTCAGATTGAGAAGCCTGTAGTCGCTTAGAATGCTAGCTCATTTGAGGCTCTTGAAGGCAATGCTCGAGAAGGAATGAGAAGGGGTGGTTGAAGCAGCTATTCGTCATTAACTAGGCAGAATAGAATATAATGTTGAAGGCATTCGGCTGTTTGACACAGACTTCATTGCGCTAGACACTGGTGTTGGTGCAGCTGAATATATATATATATACACAGTTATTTACAGACACTGACACAAAAAACGAATGCAAGGCCATGCACCTAGCAACTTGCGGTGCTGTGTTGCATAGAACTCCAGCATGGATGCAAGTTGAAGAAGTGCAAATCAAGCAGGCACAGGAAAAGGAGGGCAGTTGACTGATTCGCACGTCATGTGTGGCTCATGCGCTCATGCATGGCTTTTGCGGTGAGGACCCTGATCACAACTTGCAGAAGATTCTAAACCTGTTGATGCCCATCACCCAGGAGGTCCCAGGAGGTCCCGACAGTCAGCAGAGCCGATGCGCAGTGTCAGTTGGGACGAAGCGCAGTGTGAGTTGCGGGACCTCCAGCCCAGGAACGAGAATCTCAAGGACTTTTATGCTGGACTCTCAGATTTGACGCGGGCGGAACCAGGTTTGGCGGAACTGATTGCACATAGCGGAACCTCTCAAGGGAGAAAGCAAACCTCTATTGTGATTGTTTGGAACTAGCATACTTATGATCAGTCTTAACTTGACAAGGCTACAAAGTGGGACAGTAATGACCAGTCAAAAAGAAAGACACAGAACCATAGAGAACCAAGGCGGTCCAAGGTCTTGCATAAAGATCACATGATTGAACAGCTGAGAGCTTTTTGTACGAGGCTGAGCTGCTGAAGGAACCACCTTCAGAGCTGGTTTGCCGCATCGTTTTGGCATCGCAGGGCCAGTCTGGGAAGGAGGCCGCAGCACATCCAAAAACATTCCACAAGAGGTTAGTCATGAAAGGCCATTTGGCAGTTGAAATCATTTGTTAGCTCGGTCCCCCTACGCATTCCATCCTCTGAAATGTCGCTGTCCACTCACCGGCTGCGCAGATCAACCTCCCTGAATGGCTTGGGAAGGTTTTGTGCTGCACTTGGCTTTCTTCCCCTTCAGTTTTTCACGGTAGTCCGTAGACTTTCCATCTTTCTGCAAGAAATGGCAGAGCATCTGACGACGACGACAACAACAGCATGTTCCGGACAATTGTGGACAGTGGCTCTTGTTTGGGCAATTTGGCATTTTCGTTCGATGGATCCCCGAACAGAGCCTCTGCCAATCCGATCAGCTCAGGGCCGACCACAAGGACATTGCGGCCTTCGCCCTGGTGAGGTTCTTGAGAGCGCGTTTGCAGCAGGGACTCCCAGCGTGGTTTTCTCGAAAGAACACAGGCCTCCTAAGGCCACTACGAAGGGTGTAAGCCGCTGGTGCGACACCAAGGAGCGAAATGGGTGGACCGGCCACCACACACCGACCGCCTCCGAAGTTGCCCTCATCATTAGAGGAGGCTCGCTATAAGGGGTGGAGTCAGAACTGCGTCTTCAACTGGTCGGGAGTATGTGGTTGGGCTGGTCTTCGGCTTTAGGAGACTTTCTTTGCAGAACTCCCCATGCTTCACACATGTATCAGTTGCAGAGTGGATCTCCCTCTCTCTCTCTCTCTGTGTTGATTTGTCTGGCGATGACCTGGTGGAGCTGTTTGGCTGGCTTATTCAGCATCTCAGGTCCATTACATGCAGGGGTTCTGCACAAAGCTTTAAGCCTGAATGGCTTCGCACTTTGAAGCAGGAACTTTGTCTAATGAGTAAACAGATCTGGTGCTGATTTTTCTCAAGATAGGCAGAGACAGATGATACCCGATGCTTTTAGTGGGCGGACAACGCCTTGGGCACCTCTCTTGAACGCTCATGCCATTGGACTTAGTGTCGCCGATCGATGGCAGGGTGGCCAAGCACTCTGCTGGCTGGAATTGTCCAGGTACTGTTTATGTATTTTTTGAGGATGCAAAGAATTGCCAGTTGAACATTGGCAATCAGAGTAATTTCTCCAGCAAGTTTCAGCAAAGAAAGACACCCCATCAATCTGATCTTTGTCTTTAGAGTGAGCAAGGAGTCCATCGGAGAATAAATCACCCAGGCCCCCTTCTCCCACTTTCAAACCTCTTGAGTGCAACCTTTGTTTTGACAGGCTTGCACCGTGCATAGATTTTGGCAGTTCCAGTCACTATACACCAACGGGAAAGTACTGCTCTCATCATCAATGGGTACAGCAACGATCGCGGTACTTCGCATGAGAGAGAGAGAGAGAGAGGGAGAGAGAGGGAGGGACAGGGATAGGGATAGGGATAGGGAAAGAGATTTAGATAGAGATAGACTCATGACTCATGCTGCTACAATCCTTTCTTCTCTGCATCAAACTGTTCCTGTGTCAATGGGATTCGAGTCTTCAGTAACTGCAAAAACCGGGATGGAAGAGTTCCAGTAGAGGAGACAGACAACGCAATCACTTTCCGAATCAATCTGTACCGAACCAAGATGCCCTGGTAAGACATGTTTGTCACACAGCTGATTCCAACAGAACATGTACTGTGGGTGGTTAACCCTGCTGTCCTGCCTTAAGAAGCGGGATGACGATGTCAGATGTTGGGATGTGGCGCAGCCAGCGGGGACTTCCAAGGTGAGGTGATCATCACTCTGAGCCCGCGGGGACCAAGAAGCAAACTGCGGAAGCAGCACATCTATGAGGCGACATGCTTGGGGCTGCCTGCTCATTCAAATTCAGACTGGCAGACACCAGCGAAAAAAGCTTGGCAACTTGTACACTCCCAAAGCATACAAGCATACAAACTAAAACACCCATTCAGATTCTGGAAGCATCTAAAGCGTGAGATGTACCAAGCCCGTGCTGGTGTAGCCAGGCGCCTAGCCACTTGCCAAGGCCCGGCATCCGCAGAACTGAAGCTCTTTCACAGAGTTTAAATACGAGGGTCACTAAGGTTTTTGAGGAGAAGCAAAGAAATAGACTTCTTGAGAAGGAGACTTTGTTTGGGCTTGCAACACTGGAAACAAACTTTCTTTTGATTTATGTAGTTTCTCACCACCCTGATGTCGCCACCAGCTGCGCGTGCAGGTTTGAAGGGGGAAGGAGCCGATCCCCAGGCATGGGGAAGGTTTAAGTAATCGGAAGTCGTAAGAAGATCATGTGAAGAGCTTGGCACCTGGAATTGTAATGTCCTTGAAGCCCTTGGCAAGATTCTTCTAACTAAAGCGCAACTCTGTAAACTCACGGA